TTCCTCCTTCTTTGTGTCAGTAGGTCTTCCTCCCCATTGCTGGGTCTTTCATGGCCACCCTGAGAAGGTTTCCCTGCTCCTGGCCTTTGCTTTTTGCCAGAGCTTGATCCCTGGAAGCCACACAGTTCCTGCTCCTGGCACCATGGTGGCTGGGAGAGGTTTTTGAGGTTTTATTCATTGTTTTTCCCCTCCAGCAGATTCCTCACAGATCCTGTGAGCGCTGTGGTGTCCCATGGGCATCACTCAAGCTTTCCAGAGCTGCAATGCCAAGATCATGGCACACTTTGGACCTTTCTGCAGCCTTCTTCCTTCTTTATGGGGGAGTGAATTTCATCAGCACTTGCCAAATCTGCTGGGGAAGTCTCCATTCCCATCACATCCCTGCCCCTCTATGAATCTAGGAGAACCTAGGTTGTTTCTGGGGTTGTTTCTGGATTCCTGCCCTGACCCCAATCTTCCTACTCCCCTCCCTTTTCCATTCTCTGGAAACGACAGCTCAGGGAGAGCTCTCTTGGTGGTGGCAGAGAGAAAACAGCCCTGCAAGCAGATGATTTCAGTATTAACTAAATTAACACGGGGCCTGGCACTCTCCGAAATGAGTCACCCGTGTTTCATATCAATGATTTCAGACCCTGGCATTTTCAGTCCGAGCCACAAGCAGTGCCACGGCAGGCACAGGCTGTATTTTAAACTCTCCTGGCAGGGCTGGGAGCAGATGCTCGGGAGCGGAGCAGAAGGCGCGGTAATGGAGCTTCAGCGGGAGCGCGCGGGGAACGCGGCGTGCCGGGAGCAGGAGCCACCCATGGCACTCTGGGGCCGGGCTCTTGCGTAAGCCCTGCCGGGGGGAGGACGGGGAATGGGCACCAAAGGCCTGGCACTTGTCCTCTGCAGCTTCCAGAGAGCTGGAACGAGGAGGAGCATGGTCAGAGCGCCTTCTCTCGTTCTGCCCTGCGCTATCCGGGCAGCAGCTTTGCTTCTGACCCCTTCTCCAGCCCCGTCATCATTCCACCAGCTACTGGGACCAAAATATTTCACCCATTCCCCTTCTCCATGCATGTCCTGGCAGCTCTGAAACTGTGATCCGAGCTGATGGCAACGCTTGGGTGGTTTCAGAGCCGCTCACAGAGGATCACAGAGGACCCTTGCTCTTTGCCAGCTTCGCTTATGACACAGCAGTAATAACTTATTCACCATTCAGAAATCCCCTGGGAACTGCATTTGTTTGGATGGGAAAACACCCCGGTGATCCCTAGGAATCTTTGTTCTGCTCTGTTTTACAGCACTGAGCCCCAGCCCTGAGCTGTCACAGTACATCACCTCCCGAGGAACCGCGATTGCCCGGCTCGAGCTGCAGTGCCAGCCCCAGAGCTGGAGCTTTAATCCTCAACAAAGCAAACCCAGGGACACACACAGCGAGCTCCCAAGCCTGCTGGACACCAAGAGTAGCCCCCAGTGCTGTCCTGTCACTTGTCACTGCTGTTACAAGTCAGCCAGCACACGGTATTTCTGCTGGCAGCTCACCACAGCCAGCGGTGGGATTTCTGCACGGGGAAGTCATGCTTCCCACACAGAGCAGGGGCTCCAAGGCTGGGATTTAGAGGGAAGGGCTTGAGAGCAGCTCCAGAGAGCTGTCCCTGGCCAGCCTGCACCTCGCTGGAGCTTTCACTTGTCACATGCCAGGGGTGAGCCACCTCCACAAGCAAAATCCTTCTCCAAACTCCAAATGTGGGCATAGGCAACTAAGAGGGATGAGACAGGAAGGGAAGCTGGAAGTTTAGGTGCCAAAGCACATGGACAGGGCTCTTCCCCCAGCCCTGGGCACTGGAGGAGTCAGCACTGCACTCATCCAGGTCTCCTCAATTCTTGAGGAGCTCTCATCACTTCTCCAGGCTCAGCAGGGCAACACTTCCACCTCGGCTCCCAGAAATTCCCTCTGCCAGCCCAACCTGGAGCTCTCAGAAGCTCATACCACTCTCAGATGCCACCTCCAGGGGCTGTCCTCTTCCCATCCCATTCCTGCAGGGCATTTATTTGTTGGAAGATGTTATTAACAAAGAAATACACACAGAGCAAAGCTAGAAACGTTGACTCCATTAACCACAGCTACAAGCAGCCTCTGCTATGTCTTGGCTCCACTTTTCCCCTCCTGGACTTCATTTGGCACCTTACATATTAGGAGGGCAAATTAGAATTTCATGCATATTTCATATACACTTAATCACTTGGCAAAGACCAAAACACTTCCCCATTAAGTGGAATTTATGCTAAATGCTGTTTCCATTAGGCGCCAGTCACTGCCTGTTCAGAGGTTACACCAGTTCCCCAGGCTTGTCCCCTGCTAGGGGAGGTGAGGACACTGTGACAGTGCCACAGCAGCAGGACAGGGTCCCCAACAGCAGCCTGATCCCAAAGCTATTCCACAAAGCCCATCCTGGTTAATGGGACATAGCTGCTGTCTGCGGGGTCCTGTTTGGTGCTCCCCTGAGCCACTTGGGTCCCCTCAGAGCTCTGAAGGGCTGCAAGGCAGCAAAAACCAAAAATGTGAGGCTCATAAACCGAGCCACTGCTGTACAACCCCTTCCTGGGAGACTTGGAGCATCCTTGTGTTGCCTTCTCCTGCTTTACACCCTCTAGTAAGAGCTTCTCCAGCTGCTCCAAACCTTCCTGCTGAGCACTCCTTCCTCCTACCAGGGAGCCAGACCTTGCCTGTCTCCAGTTTGCCTTTATACAGGGACTCTGCCATCCTCAAACTGCCCGAGCTCACCCTGCTCCTCAAGGGCCAGCAAAGCTCAGCTGGCTCCCCTGAACCCCAACATGTTGCCCCTGGTTTTTGGGTTTCACTTCACTTCACTTCCCAAGTCTCAAAAAAAGGGATCTTGGTGTCTGCTTTATCTTGCAAGAAAAAAAGAGAGAGAGATTTACTGCTGAGGTTAAATCAAGGTGCAGATAGGAGTCTCCTCTGGTTTTCCTGCTTTTGAAACTCCAAGTGTCGGATTTCTTGTGGGGAAAAAAAGAAAAAGAAAAAAAAAAGAAAAAAAAGATAAGTACTATTAAAATTGACACTGAGGTAGTAACAAACCCCTCTTGACTGAGGGGATTGAAAGAGCCAAGCTCTGTGCTCTAACAGCGCCCAGCTCCAGCCTGGTCACCGAAAAAGCTGCACCCAAAATAACCAACAGAGATGTGGGAGATTTAAACGGGGTTATTCTGCTTCCAGAGCAGGGGAGGGGGACGGGGAGTGCAGAGCTCAGTTCCACACCCCAGGCTGCCTGCCGGCTGTCTCAGTGTGCAGCAGCAATTCCTCCTCCTCCGGCCTGTTTCCCTGCATCCTCAAACAGCGTCTCTTCCTTTTCATTTTTATTTTGTTTTCTTTTCCAGCGGGCACGCAGGGCTCTGGCTGCCTGGCTTTGTAGCTGCTGCTGCTGATGCCTGACCTAAATCTGTGCCGCGTTCGTAGCCAGGAGCTCCGGCGGGGTTTGCCCGGTGGGGGGGTCCGTGCCCGGGCAGCCGGGGGATGCTCGGACCCCGGGGGATGCTCGGGCCCGGGGGATACTCCGGCCTGGGGGATGCTCCGGCTCCCTGGGGATGCTCGGACCCCGGAGGATGCTCCGGCCCCGGGAATGCTCGGGTCCGGGGGACGCTCCAGACCCAGGGGATTCTCCGGCCCCGGGGGATACTCGGACCTCGGGAATGCTCGGGCACGGGGGATGCTCCGGCCCCGAGGGGTGCTCGGGCACCGGGGGATGCTCGGGAGATGCTCGGGCGCCGGGGGATTCTCCGGCTCCGGGGGTGCTCTGGCCCGGGGGATGCTCCCGCCCCGGGGATGCTCCGGCCCTGGGGATACTCAGGAGATGCTCAGGCCTCGGCCCGTCCGGCCCCCGGGGGATGCTCCAGCCCCAGGAATGCTCCAGCCCCCAGGATGCTCCCTGCCGGAGTTGGGGTCGGTTCTCTTTCCTCTCCTGTGAGCCTATTGCATAAGAGGGATTTGAGGGCTTCTAGCTGGCTCTCCCCCCCTCCACTCCCGCCCGTCTTCTTCCAGAATAAAGACCTTGTTTTTCCAAGCGTTTGGCTTGCTGGAGGTTAAAGCAGCCCCTTCTTCCAGGCGGTGCTGCTCGCTGGTCCCGGGGTCAGCGAGAGCTGCAGGGTATCAAGCCTAAGAAGGGCTTATCCCTGTATTTTTACAGCTTCCCAAGGCCCCGGCTCCGGGCTTAGAGCCCTGGGCTGAGCTGTGGCGTGCGAGGGCTCAGGCACGCACTCCTCCAGCGGGGCACCCATCCACGGCCGGGCTGAGCCGCTCTGGGCTGTCCCTGCTGGCTGGTGACAGCCACCGAGGGTTTGTCCTGCGCCCTCAGCTCCCACCGTGCTGGTGCTGAGAGAGCCTCCCCACAGAAACCAGCGCTGTGCTGGCAGATACAGCACATGTGGGATGGTGCACGGCTCCCTGTGTGCTGGAATCATGAAATATCCTGAGCTGGAAGGGACCCAGTCCTTGGCCCTGCACAGGCACCCCAACAATCACACCCTGTGCATCCCTGGGAGCGCTGTCCAAACACTCCTGGAGCTCCTGGGGCTGTGCCCATTCCCTGGGGAGCACTCAGCATGCTCTGGGGGAAGAACCTTTCCTGATATCCAGCTAAACCTCCCCTGAAGCAGCTCAGGGCAGTGCCTCGAGTCCTGCCACTGGTCACCAGAGAGAAGGGATCAGTGCCTGGCCCTCTGCTTCCCTGTGGCCTCATCAGCCTGGATTTGAAAACATTTCCCAGTCCTTGGTTTGAGTTTGCATTCTCATCATTGCCCAAATCCTATTTGTCTGAGGAAGAATAAAGGGAAAACTTACCCTTTTAGGACATTCTGCCAACATGTTCAGGAGAGATGCTGCTTTGAATGGGTTTTCCCAGAGTCTGGTATTTCCAAGGAAGGGTGGCATGAGAGGATGTTTGCTGTCCCCATGGGTGAGGCTGTGACTCAGGGTGTCCTTTTCCTTGGTGTTGCAGGTCAGCCTCAATGATTCCCACAATCAGATGGTCGTTCACTGGGCAGGAGAGAAGAGCAACGTGATTGTGGCCTTGGCCAGGGACAGCCTGTCCTTGCTGGGTCCCAAAAACAGTGATGTAAGTAACACACCCTGGCCCTCTCCAGGTGCACCTTTGGCTTCTGGGCCAGGCAAGGTGATGGTAGCTGCTGAGCTACAGCCTGACTTGCTCTTGTGTCCTGAGAGACACAAAAAAAGTCCCACAAGTTTGGGTTCAGAGGCACAAAAATATTAAATATCCTCTGTGCTGCCCCATGGGTTCAAGGCATGGTTGGGAAAATCTCAAATCTTTCCCCGCCTCATAGTTCACTGAGTTTTCACCAAATCTGTCAGAAGGGAGCTCAAAACTTTGTGCTTCTCATTGTGTGGCTTCTTCTTTGCAGGTTTACGTGTCCTATGACTATGGGAAGAGTTTTAAGAAGATTTCGGAGAGGTTCAGCTTCGATGGGGGGAACAGCAGCGAGGTGGCCATCGCCCAGTTCTACCACAGCCCAGCTGACAACAAGAGGGTGAGGGCAGCTGGGCCTTTGTCCCTGCTGTCACAGGGAGCCTGGACACCCCTTTGCTGTCCCTGGGGCAGAGGTGGCATGTGCCAGGCACTTCTTGTGCCTTGGTGAGGGTCAGAGTGTGGTGGGAGAGGGGCAAATTCTTCTCCTCCAAAGTTTGTCCTCCCAAAAGCTCCCTTGGGATGTGCACCTTCATTGCTGCCAGCCTGAGCTCTGCTCTGACCTTCTCCCCTGTCTGTGCCTCCACTCCCAGTATATCTTTGTGGATGCCTTTGCCCCGTACCTCTGGATCACCACCGACTTCTGCAACACCATCCAAGGCTTCTCCATCCCCTTCAGAGCAGCAGACCTCCTCCTGCACAGCAGGAACCCCAACCTCCTCTTGGGCTTCGACAGGTCTCACCCAAAAAAACAGGTGAGCACTTGGCTCAGGTGGGGAACCAGCATCCTAGCCCTGCCCTGCTGTGATGTTCCTGTGGCCTCTCACAGCTGAGAGCCACCGTGCCTCGTGCCAGGGCCATGTGGCTTCATGCTTTGGCCATTCAGGGAGTCTGATCTCACATGCAGAGCTGTCCAAATCTGCATGACACTCCCTTCCCTACAGTCTGTCCTGTTCTCTCCTCTGGAGAATGAGGATACAGTCCCTGCAGGCTGCCTGTCTTATTTCCCTTCCTTTCTCCTCCATCCACGCTGCTCCCAAGCACATCCATCACCCCAGCTATCGTGGCCATAACTCACCACAGAGCACTGGCAGCTGAGGCAGGATGACCTCTGCAGTGTTTCATGTGGGCCTGTGGTTTGGCTTTGGGTCCTGAATAACAAATTGCTGCTTGAATACAAACGCTTTTTTTTTTCCCCTCTGGAGCTGTTGGGTAAAGACTGAAAATAATTACAGCACCTTCAGATAGACACAATGAGTAAAACCTGGAGGTGAAACAGTGGGAAATCCTTCTGGTAGAAGGCTAAAGGACATTTTTTTTGCTGTTTGGGTTATCTATCATTAACAGAAAAGTTCATGTTGCTCCTGGAGCTGCCACATGACTTTTCAGGCATGGGAGTAGCCATTGGGTCTCTTGAAGGATTGGGTCTGTGTCCCAATCCTACTGGCATCTCTCACCTTTATTGTTGCAGCTCTGGAAATCAGATGACTTTGGCCAGACCTGGATAATGATTCAGGAACACGTGAAGTCCTTTTCTTGGTATGTATTGCAGCCAGCTCCTGTCTTCTCTCACTCCTCACTTCTTGCACTGTTTGCTGCCCTGTGGGAACCAAGAATCTGGGTACCGGGGTGTGCTCCAGCTCTGCCCCCTGCTCCCCTCACCCTGCACTGTTGGCAAGTGGCACAGCAAGGTGACAAGTGACAGCCACCCACACTGGCACCCAAGGGTGTTTTTCTTCCCCCTACCCCATCTCCTTGCTCCTGCTGCCTTCTTCTGCCATCCCACCGCATCCCACCACATCCCCTGTCCTCCCCAGCTCCTGTCTTCTCTCTCTCCTCACTTCTTGCACTGTTTGCTGCCCTGTGGCAACCAAGAGTCTGGGTACCAGGGTGTGCTCCAGCCCTGCTACCCTCACCCTGCATTTTGGGCATGTGGCACAGCAAGGTGACAAGTGACAGCCACCCACACTGGCACCCAAGGATGTTTCCCATTCTCCTACCCCATCTCCTTGCTCCTGCTGCCTTCTTCTGCCATCCCACCACGTCCCCTGTGGTCCCCAGGGGGGTTGAGCCCTATGACAAGCCCAGCACGGTGTACATCGAGCGGCACGAGCCCTCGGGGGCCTCGACCGTCATCCGCAGCACAGACTTCTTCCAGAGCCGGGAGAACAAGGAGGTCATCCTGGAAGATGTCGAAGATTTCCAGCTCAGGGACAAATACATGTTTGCAACCAAGTCTGTGGTGAGTGGCGCGCGAGGAATTCGCTGCCGAGGGTGGATGCGGTGCAGAGCCACGGCGGGCAAGAGCATCTGCCAGGGGTGCTGCCGCTCTCTGCTGCGCCTCACAGCCTTCAGACCTCACTGGCTTGTCACAGAGGTGTCACCCAGCCTGCCAGCAGCTGCCAGCCCCTGTGGGCTCACAGCAGTGGCTGCCCGTGCCGCTCTCCCAGTGGTGTTTCCATACCCCTGCCTCGGGCAGGCTGGGCAGAAGTAGGTCATCCTGCAGAGGGCTGGGACCCGGGAAAAAACACAGGATGGCTGGGAAGGACGTCGGGGTGGGGGTGGCAGGGGAAGGGGGATGTGGCTCGGCAGCTCGGTGGTTAAAGGAGGCCGCTTGTCAGAGGAGATTACCATCAAATGTGGACCAGGTCCAAGCAGCCTAATGTGCTCCAGCCTGGAAAGAAAGCTGCATTTTCAGTCTGCTTGCCTAAGAAAAGAGGATGTGGGTGAGCAAAAGTGGTCTTTTGGTCCCTCTGCAGCCAGTTCTTGGCCAAGTTCGAACAAACCTGAAAGAAAGCAAGAAAGTGTCTGTGCTTCCTCTGAGGGCCAGGCCTTTCTAGATCAGAAACAGCATCAGAGGGATAAAGTCCGGATCCTTCTAGAATGTAAGGAGCAGCTTTCTTTTCAGAAGATGCATTTCTCCCCTGCAGCTGCCATGGAGTGCTTTAAGAAGGAACCCTTTATTTAGGGGTGACTGCTGGCAGAACCAGGGAGGGTTTCCTAGGCAGTAAGTGACAGGTGTGTCACCTCCTGCCCCCTGAGCGGGCACAGCGGTGTCTGACAGAGGCAGGGAATGTTTGCAGAGCAATTTCAGTTTCTCAGAAGTCCCCCTTGCAGGTAGTACAGGCTGTAACTCCCAGGGCCCAGCCCCTTGGCACTGTGCCTGCTCTGTGGTTTGCAGGAGATTTTATCGAGGGCTCGGTGCTGGTGTAGGGTGAAACACTGGGGGTGGTTTGTGTCTCTGCAGAGAAGCCACTGAGCTCAGGGACAGCATCCTGAAAGCATGAGGAGGGTTTGGGCACCATTTGGGGGTGCTTTGGAGCTTTTACTGCTTCTGGAGCACTCAGGGGCCAGCGGGCAGCACTCCCTGCTTCCTCCTGCAGCTGTAATGACTAAACATCAATAAAATCACCCCTATTCCACCCCACGGCAAGCGCTGCTGGGAAACACCGAGACAGAGCGAGGCTGGCTGCTAGCCCCTCATTTGGGAATCACATCCCCAGCTCTGGAATGAGGCATTTGCCTCCAAGCCTGGCTGCAGCAGGGGCGGTGCTGGGGAAAGGACAGGCTGGGTGGCAGTGGCGCCCAGGGCTCTGACTTCTGCTCCTTTCCGTGGGAGGCATGGTTGCTTAGTGATACAGAGGCTGGGGAAAAAAGAAAAAAAACAAACCAAAAACCAGGCCGCTTATTTTTGGAGCCTAGATCTGGGTTTAGGTCCTCACCATTGGCATCCTGTATGAAATAGGTTGCCCCCAGCTTTTTTGCTTTCTCGGCTTCGCGCCGGAGCCTTTCGTTTTTGCGCAAATCGGTAAAAATAGGAAGGAAAGGTCAGTGTGCTCTGAGGAGAAAGGAGGAATTAAACCCAGCCTCCTTACCCCCACCTGACTGCCCAGGAAGGACAGTTTGTCTCCTTGCTGAGGCCTGGCTGTGGCAATTTAAACCCTGAGTGGGGAACACTGCTCCCAGCATCGCGCAGCTGCTGTGCTTTGCCCACATGCAGGGAGGGGAAATCCCAGGCACTGGGTGATCGCAGTGGAGATGAGGGTGGTTTTTTGGGGTGAGAGCCCCTCCTAACGTGTCCCTGTGCTCTGCACAGCGTTTGCTCGGCAGCTCACAGCCCCCCTCAGTCCAGCTCTGGGTCTCCTTCAACCGCAAGCCCATGCGGGTGGCACAGTTCGTTACCAAGCATCCAATTAAGGTAAGTGGTGCTTCCCGAGCAGCTTCCCAGCTCCCTGCCTTGCCAAGGACACCCTGCAGTGCCAGCAGCAGGTCCAGATGCTGCAGGAGAGGGAAGGGACCTCGTATGACCCTGCTGGGGGAGTGGCAGAGCAAAGGCTCACGTTGGGATGATCTCGCGGTTTACACGATGGCACCTGGACAGTCACTGGGGATGGGGGCTGGCAGCAAAGCCCAGATACCAGAGAGGGGCTAATCCCACTGCTCTGACTCTGCTTTTGGGGACTTTCCCTCTTCCCATGGCGTGGGGTGCACTGGCATGACCTGGAGCATCCAATTCTTGCAGGCTGAGGAAGCCCAGGGCACCAGGGCTTGCAAAGAGTCCTTGATGCATGAACCAGATACGCTGTGGTGTCCCCAGGCTGGTGGGGATGCAGGAGGGCATGAGAAGCAAGTTTTGGTGCTTGGCAGAGCAGTGGGGTGCACTCCCAGCCTCAGGGAGGTGAGGTCCAGCACACATGGGGCTTGGCCACCAATGCTGCTTCCAGGGGGCTTTGCAGGGCAGAGGATGGGAATCACTGTGGGGGGAACACAACAGAAAAAGCAAAGTGGAGATTTTCTTCCTGCTGAGTGGAAAAAATACAAAAAGGTGGAAGCAAGCTAAGAAGGAATCCAAACCCTCCATGTGTGCACACACACACACACAAAGCCCGTTCTTTGTGTCCCAAAGGAATATTACATTGCTGATGCCTCGGAGGACCAGGTGTTTGTGTGTGTCAGCCATGACAACAACCGCACCAACCTCTACATCTCGGAGGCTGAGGGCCTGAAGTTCTCCCTGTCTCTAGAAAATGTGCTCTACTACAGCCCAGGGGGAGCCGGCAGCGACACCTTGGTCAGGTAAGACAGGACTTATCACAGCAATGGTCCCCTGAACGGGGAATAATTAGCACTGACTCCATGATTGCAGAAGGCTGATTAATTGCTTTATTCTATTATACTATATTATACTATACTATACTTATTAAGAAGCTCGTAACCCTTACCGACAGTCTGATACAGCTTTGACCTAATTGGTCAATCCATCCAAACACCATCCAGTGCCCAATTAAAAAACCACCCTTTGGTAAACAAATCTCCATAACACATTCCACATGTGCACAACAACAGGTGCAGCAAGTGGAGATAGGAATTGTTTCTCATTCTTTTCTCTGAGCTTTCTCACAGCTTCCCAGGAAAATCCTGGGAGAGAGCTGTCTCTCTCTGTTCAGAGGATATGTGATTACCACGACGACTCACCCCATGGCAAATGAGAACATCGACCAAAATCCGCGATTTCTGGCTGTGCCGGATCAATGCGTTACCTTCGCCTGCCAATCCCCCACATCCCCAGACTTATGGGAAGGGGTTCAATTTCCATTTTGCCGACCCCACAGGTACTTTGCCAACGAGCCCTTTGCGGATTTCCACCGCGTGGAAGGCGTGCGGGGCGTCTACATCGCCACGCTGATCAACGGCTCCTTCAGCGAGGAGAACATGCGCTCCGTCATCACCTTCGACAAGGGCGGCACCTGGGAGCTGCTCCAGCCCCCCACTCAGACCCATTATGGGGAGCACATCGACTGCCAGGTACCACGGGGTGGTGGGAGAGGGAGAAGACCCCCCAGATGGGGCATTTGGGGATGTGGTTTATTAGTGGTGGGCTTTGTGATCTCGGAGAACACGTCACTCTACGAAAAGAGGTTGAAACAGCGATGCCACCACAAAAGAGTCCCTCCTGGCCTTTCCAAGCAGAGAGGACTGGACTAGACAGCATGAGGGATGGATGTTGATCCACTGTTCTGCTTTCCCAGTTGTCCCAGGGCTGCTCTCTCCACCTGGCCCAGCGCCTGAGCCAGCTGCTGAATTTCCAGCTGCGCAGGATGCCCATTCTCTCCAAGGAGTCAGCGCCAGGACTGATCATTGCCACTGGTACTGCTTTTCCCTTGGCTTGGGGGGTGTTGTTGCCAGGCAGTATTTAGTTTGTACAAGCAGGTTATAAAATGCAATTAAATGGTGCATTTTGCTGTCCTTTCTTTGCTGCAGTCCCCATACAGTAATTACAGAATGAACATTTCACTGCAGCACAGAGATGTGAGAAACCTGCTCTGTTCTGATCCTCTTTCCTGATCCTTGTGAAGGGCTTCTTTAAGATTCAGAAATTCCTGTTTGTCTCGCTCTGTTACTGAAGAAAGCACACATTTTGTTTAATCATGTTTGTAGCCATGGGTTTTTCCCCCATCTGCTTTTAAAACTTGAAATAGTCCTTGAAATATTTGCTTTTGAAGGGATTAATTTATAGTGTGAAAATTCATCTCCTCAATCACAGATAAAAATAGTTTGGAGGTGTCTGGCTTCCTTTTAAGCAATCACTTTGCATTCCTCAAGAAGGATGATTTCTCCCATTCTCCCAGGCTCCGTTGGCAAGAACATGGCAAGGAAAACCAATGTTTATGTCTCGAGCAGTGCTGGAGCAAGGTGGAGAGAGGTAAGGCTGCTCTTACACCTGCCAGATTGGCCAGCCTGGTGGGGGAACAGGAAGAATTTTGGCAGCAGTATAGATGAGTTACATTAAAGGTGATTTCGTATGAATCCAAGATCTGGAAGGTGCTCAATGCCTTAAAACAAGGGAAAAAGGTTTTTAGGTGAAGGACCAGGTGTGGGTTGGTTGGAGATGAACCTCTGGTGTGGATGGTGGATTCAGACACAGGAGAGCTCCCTCCTCTGTTTTTCCTTTCCACCTGGCAGGACTTCTCCTCAGCACGGGGCATTTGGTGTCTTTGAGATGGGACTGACAGCCAGGACTTTGTGTGTGAGAGAGTTTGGAGAGGCTCTGGCTTCTTCCAGAGAAATGGGACGCTGCCCTCGGTTTATGGGGAGTTTGCTGCTGTTTACTGAGTGGATGTTCTGGTCTGTGGCAGTGTTTGTGGTGTGCCTGTGCACTCTGCAGCCAGTGTGATGTGGTATTCCAACATCTGCAAGCTATTTAATCCTGGGAGCTGAGCAGCCTCCTTCTCCTCCCGCGAGTGTGAGCGGTCGGGGTGAGGTCTGGGCAGCTGCAGTGGGGCTGGGGACATGCCACAGGTCTGGCTGATGCCAAAGGTGGTTCAGAGGCTGCTCCTGGCTCCAAAACCCAGCTGGAGAGCAGCTGTGGGGACCCTGCAGCCAGGCAGGAGCTGGCAGATGGGGCAGGGTATCCAAAACCAGAGACTTTCAAGTGCCAAGCTCCACAGGTTTGCCTTGGAGTGCAGTTAAAACATTCTGAGGAAGTGTTGATCCAAAGCTCCTGACTGATCTTAGTATCATGAGCAGAGGTGCAGAATGACCCAGCAGTGGAGCTGAGAAGCAGCACCACTCCTTCTGCTCAGCTTTGGCCAGCAGCAGGCTGGGAGGCTCTGCAGATCACTGGGGTAATTTCACAGCCCAGAGAAGAAAGGAACAATGCATTCAGTGCCCTGTGAATGTCCCCAAGTGTGACAGCACGTCCTGTGAGCAGGGTCTGGCATGGACACGCTCCTTGTTTGCATCCCAAGGTGCTCTGGGCTCCCTGGATGGGAAAGCAAAGCTGATTGTGTGCTGCAGGTGTAGGTGAGCGTGAGATCCAAGCTTGTTGCCATGGATGAATTGTCTCCAGGGCTTGTTTCTGCATGCCATGGCCCCACTTCTCTCTGAACACTCACAAGACGTTCCACAGCCTGAGGGCCAACTTCTCTGCAGTCCTGGGATGGCCACAAGTCACTGCTGGGTGTCAGGAAAACCTCACAGAGGTGACAAATGAGAGGAGGAGTGATGGACTCTGGTTTTGTGTCATGGCAGTTCTTCACTGATTCTTTCCCTGCACAGAGCACAGGAAGAGCAGAGTCCAGGGCTCAGGGCAGCTTTTACACACATCTCTTAGGGGAAATGGGCTGGCTATTCTCATCTGCAGATGGTGTCCCATAAATGCTTGAATCTCTGGTGCCACCAAACACTTGATTTGGCCAAGGCTGAAGCATTAGCTTGGCTCAGGCAGAGTTTCTGACAAAGCCATTTCCCTTCATTCAGCACAGCTCTGGTCACCCCTCAGCACTGTCTCTCTTCCAGGCACTGTCTGGACCCCACTACTACACCTGGGGTGACCACGGTGGAATTCTGGTGGCCATCGCCCAAGGCACCGAGACCGACCAGCTCAAGTGAGTGTCAGGGCACAGGGACTGCCTCTGCTGCTTGGCTGGGGATGGCAGAGAGTGCCCTGCAGCAGGCAGGACATGCCCCTGGCATCTCTCCCAATCCCCTTTTTTGTGCAGGTACAGCACAAACGAAGGGGAAACCTGGAAAGTGTTCACGTTCTCGGAGAAGCCGGTGTTTGTGTACGGCCTCCTGACCGAGCCCGGCGAGAAGAGCACCATATTCACCATCTTTGGCTCCTACAAGGAGAATGGCCACAGCTGGCTGATCCTGCAGATCAACACCACTGACGTGCTGGGTAAGGGGACGGGTGGCAGAGCCATCTCTGGGGTGGCTCTGCTTGTTGGAGAGAGGGCATCTCCTCATGCCCTGTCCCAAGTGTCTTATGTCCACATGGACACAGCTGCTGAAGGCACTGGTGTGCCCTGTGCTCTCTCTGAATTCCTTCCCCCCTCACTGAGGAATTTGTTGAAAAGGAAAAGAGGAAAAAAAAAAAATTCCTTCTGAAGGCTTGTGCCTATGAATGTTTTATAACCCATTTCAGCTTTGATTGCGAGGCAGCATTTTAATCAAAGCGCAGTTAAACCCAGCAGAGGAATTTGCTTGACTAAAATTTATCACCGATTCCCTTGACGTTTTGTTGGGAACAGATCTGTTTGGTAACCAGAACGACTTCATTCAGATTCCCTGTCACTGCCAGGGAGCTGCCTGTTCCCTCCTGTCACCGCGTGCCGCCGCACGCTCCCAGCTGGAGCTCTCCTTGCCTTGCCTTCCCTGTGGGATAGGGCTGGGGCCTTGCTCTTTGGAGGAAGTTTTGTGCCAGGGGAGGGTGGAGAGGGGAGGGAATCACAGAATCATTCACAGAATGAACTAGGTGGGAAAAGACCTTTGGTTGGAAAAGCCCCAACACATCCTCATCAGCTAAACCATGGCACGAGTGCCACGTCCAGTCTTGTTTTAAACACCGCCAGGGATGGTGACTCCATCCCCTCCCTGGGCAGGTGATTCCAGTGCCCAATCACTCTTTCAGTGAAGAATTTTTCCCTGATGTCCAACCTGAACTTCCCTTGGCACAGCTTAAGGCTGTGTCCTCGTTTTCTCAGTGGTTGCCAGGAGAAGAGACATTCCTGTGGTGTGGGGCTGGATGCCAGCACGCCTGGCACTCCTGGGTACCCAGGGACATCAGCATCTCTCTGTCTTTAAACCTGAGGCTCTGCAAATGCTGCATTTTTCTGCACCCCGACCTTGTTTCTCCTCTCAGGGGTCCCTTGCACAGAGAATGACTACAAGCTGTGGTCACCCTCGGACGAGCGAGGCAATGAATGTTTGCTGGGGCATAAAACCGTTTTCAAAAGGAGGACTCCTCATGCGACCTGCTTCAATGGGGAAGACTTTGACAGGCCTGTCATGGTCTCCAACTGCTCTTGTACGAGGGAGGACTTTGAATGGTAAAATACCAATTAATTTCTTCTAGTCTGGATTGTAAATCCAAGATAAGTGTCCGTGACCAATCGCTCCGAGTGAACAAACATCCAATTTACGTAGCTCGGAATGTCGCTGCTTCATTTTATAGCAGAGAGGAAACCAAACAGACTGAAAACATCCTTTCATGAATAACAGGGCATGAGACTTAATTAATGTCTTTGGAGCCTTTTGGGAGCCTCTGAAAGGTTCCACGGAAGAGGGAAGTATTGTTAATCCATCACCTTCCCAATGATAATGGGTAATTTCCCATCACAGACAGAGATCCACTAAAATCTGTGATTCTGTAGCCACAGGGGTGCAGCTGGCCCTGCTATTGCCCTTGGACTGCAATTCCCACAATCCTGACACTGCTTTCAGGATCAGGAAACACGCTCTGGCAAACTGATGCAAAGGTTTGGGGTTAGAAAGGGAACTGCTTTTTCAGGGCCTGGCCTTTCAGTGGAGCTCACACCAGACTGCTCCTGTCTGATGCTGAGACAAAGTCTGGCTCACCACGAGCAGACTGAGAGCAGCGCTGGTGTGAGCCTGCCTCAGAATTCAGCCCTGGGCTCCCTACAAAATCCCACTGACAAAACCTCTCTCTCCCACAGCGTTTTCCAAAGAACAGCCGCACTGTAACTCCCATTTTGCCAGCAGGACCAGCCAAGAGACAGAGCAGTGACCTGAGCCAGCTCAGCAGCAGCACTGGGGCTTGCAGCCAGCTTTGCAGAGCACACTGCCTCAGCTCTGCCCCGCTGCCTCACCTTCCCCAGCCTGCCTGGCCACTGGCAAAGCTGATTTGCAAAGTGTTCTTGAAACATCCTGTCTGGCTGGGAGATACTCTGTGCAGCTAAATACTGATAATGAATGAAGGGTCACTCTGAGTTCTTAAAAATTCTATGCAAAAATAGACCCATGGTATAGCATGGCTGCATTTTTTGCTTTTCCCTGTCCCTCCCTACATCTTTCTTCTCCTTGCAGTGATTTTGGCTTCAAACTGAGCGATGATTTATCCTTAGAAGTTTGTGTCCCTGACCCTGAGTTTGCTGGGAAGCCCTATGACCCACCAGTCCCTTGCCCTGTTGGCTCAACCTACAGGAAGACTCGAGGGTATGTGCTGTGCTTGGGAGGGCAACCTGATATTCCAAGTGCTGGAATTTATCTTACTGGTGATTAAAAAAACCCCAACCAACCACAAAACCCACAAGAGTGGCAGCAAACGAACGGCACGTTAGGACATACATGGCAATTAAACACCACAGCTTATTCTGGCTGCGCAGGGTGGTTTGTTCACAGTTTTTCCATGGAATAAACTGCCTGGCTCTGTGTGTTGCAGCTACAGAAAGATCTCTGGGGACACTTGCACGGGTGGAGACATCGAGTCGCGGCTGGAGGGGGAGCTGGTGCCGTGCCCGCTGGCGGGTGAGTGCGTGCGGGAGCTGCTCTGGGCACAAGGAGTCCATTCATAAAACCTTTGGCTGGTGCCTCAGGGACCAGGCACAGAGTCCCAGAGGGCTCTCAGACAAAACCTGTGACACAGGAGCCTGGGTGGGTTACAAATCGCCCTCTCCTGTCCTGTGGGCAGAGCTTCTGAGGGTCCTGCTCAGGAGCAGGGTCTGCCCACAGTGCAGAGCCCTCTGAGGGCCTCAGGGGCAGGCTGCCACCCTTATCCTGGTCATGTCCTTGCTGCAGCTGGCTTGAACCCAAGCAGAAAGACAGGAATTAGATCAGACACCCCCATCCTTGGGAAGGTCCCCTTGGGAAGGTCGCACTCTGAGACAGCCACCATGTGCAGCTGAACGATGGCCTTTGGGGCCAGACCAGGGCAGACCTTCATCCCTCACACCTCTGCCTGCCAGAATTCACTCCCCCCAATCCTTATTTTCTCCTCTGGAATGTAAAAGGCACTGTAGCAGTCCCGTGCCCCTGTGCTGCCAGAGTTATTTGCATTCTGCTCATTAGAGCTTTAATTTAATCTGCCGTCACGAGCTGCGTGATCAGCATTGCTGCTTGCTGCAGCTCCAGAGCCTCAGGCAGGGCAGGGGCTCATGGAAGGGCTGGGGAGCTGAGCAGAGCAGCCAGACCCACCAGCAGCAGGCTCCCCTGAACTGCCCTAAAATTTTTCAGCACGCAAAAGATGTTCCAGGTGCGGAGCAGCACGGGGAAGCATCCCCTGTGCTGGGACTCCTGCCAGCTCTGCACTCAGCTTTACTCCTGACACGTTGTTCACCCCTCTGAGCCCTCTTGAGCTATTTGGAGAGCTGTGTTGGGCATGCTGAGAAGGGCCCTGCTGATTGCAAAGTAAACCTGCTGTCCCCACCGGGCCAGCCTTTGAAGTGCTGTGTTCCCAGAGATATCTGGGGATCCGTGCTGGCTCGCTCCATGGTAACACTTTCATGTACAGTATCTGTTTCATATCTCCCTATAATCTCATTAGGGATGCACAGCCAGAGTTACTTACTGACATTAGCTCTACTCATTAATAGCATTATTTGACTTGACTGGTGGTGGGATAATGCCCAGGAGACTTTGTCATGGACCAGGATCCCATTACCTGGATTCGGCTCCATCGGGAAACAAAACCCACTCTGGGATATTGCCTGGGGGCCAGAGTCCCTGAGGATTTGCAGAGTTGCATCACTCCCACTCTTTTTAACGTTGTTTTTTTTTTATTTATTTTGAGGAAGAGGAGATCAGTATTTTGTTTCTTATTGGCAGCACTAAAGTGGAAAGAAAAGGGTCGGGGCAGGTTCTGTGCCTCCTCCTCCTCCTCCTCTTCCTCCTCCTCCTCCTGGACCAGACAATGCCCACAGTGTGTGCCCAGCCCCACGTGAGGCTGTTACCACATTCCCATTAACCTAACCCCACTGAGACAAAAGCTCTTTCCCTCCCCGAGGTGCTAAACCAGCGGTGAAAAACACCTGCTATTTCCTTTCTTTTGCCCCTCCAGTAGCCAAAAACGAGGCCACTAGTTTAGGCCACTAAATAAGGCCCTGTTGTTGCAGAGGAGAACGAGTTCATCCTCTACGCCACCCGCTACTCCATCCACCGCTACGACCTGGCCTCGGGCGTCAGCGAGGAGCTGCCCCTGGCCGGGCTCAGGGGGGCTGTGGCCCTGGATTTTGACTACGAGCACAACTGCCTGTACTGGGCTGATGTCACTCTGGACATCATCCAGGTGAGCTGGGAGCAGGGAGGCATCCCCTCCTTGCCACCCGGGTGTTGCATCCGCACCCTGAAACGCAAATGTTTGTCCTGGTACTCCTCCCCGCCGAGCTGTCTGTCACCTGGCCTTCAGGCTTCAGGCAGTTCCTCGTCTTTTATTCTGATTATTTTTGTTTTTTTCCCCAGCGTCTCTGTCTCAACGGCAGCTCTGGGCAGGAAATAATCATAAGCACTGGGTTGGAAACAGTGGAAGCTTTGGCTTTTGAGCCTCTCAGCCAGCTGCTCTACTGGGTCAACGCTGGGATTCCCAAAATCGAGGTACAGCTCTGCCCACCCGTGGCAGTGCATATTTTATTAAGGAGCAATAATTGCCTGCCACAGAATTTGTGTCACTTCAAGCAGTGCCAGCAGCAAACACACCTGTCCTGGGTTTGGTTTTGGGTCTAGGTTGCCAATCCAGATGGAGACCTGAGACTCACAGTCCTCAACTCCTCGATACTGGAGCGACCCAGAGCCCTGGCTCTGGTTCCCCGAGATGGGTAAGAAAGGAAACATCACAAGTATTTCCCTGCTATTCCCAAGGGAAAACTGCTGCTCCTTCACCACTTCCTCCTCAGGGAGGACAGCTTGGCAGTGTGCAACCGGGGACAGGCACAGCACAGTCCTGCCCTTAGTTGGGGATGCAGTGGAGCCCACTGTCACCACTGCATCCCCAACTAAGGCACCAACTCCCTCAGAGCACAGATCACCAACTGTTAATTCCTTCCTACCCATACATATCCATTAGTAAATAACTTTTCCTGCCTGTAAAACTGGTCTGGTCACTGGGGAAAGCTGCAGTGATGCGTGAGAAACTGAGCTGTGCTCAAACTCAAGAGCCAACTCCGAGTTACATCTTTTTGGGGTTTGGCCTCGGCTGCAAATGTAAGCTCTGACAAACCAAAGCAGTTCATGGCAAGGTAACCTGCAGCTGCACTCCCACCACAGAGCTTGCAGCTCAAAAGCCTCTGTGCTGCTCATAAATCTGCTGGTGGTGTTCATTAGAATTGCAGAGCTCCCTGTTCAAAGGCCTGTCGAGCAAGAGGCGCGGAATGTGAAGCATTCCAACCCCTGCCTCTCCTCACCCGGCTCCTTTTGATGAGCTGCTCTGTGTGGATTTAGAGTAACCTCTCTGCCTGCTGCCAGGTTGATGTTCTGGACAGACTGGGGGGACTCCAGGGCTGGCATCTACAGAAGTGACATGGACGGGTCGCTGGCGGGCTGCATCGTCTCGGAGGGCGTGCGGTGGCCCAACGGCATTTCTGTGGATGACCACTGGATCTACTGGACCGAAGCCTACATGGACAGGATCGAGAGGGTGGATTTCAATGGGATGCAGAGATCTGTGATCCTGGACAGCCTGCCTCACCCCTATGCCATTGCTGTATTTAAGGTTTGTTTTCCCCGTTGTCAGTGTTTCCGTAGCACGCACGCTCTGAGGCTGGTGCTGGAGGAGCACGGAGCACACTGAATTTGAAGAATAGGGATGTGGTTTGGAGCAGGCATGACACTTTGTCTCTGCCTGCTTCCCTGAAACATTCCCACAAATCCCTGAAATGAGCAGGCAAGTGCAGTCCAATCCAGGACCAACATTCCCAAGCAGCTGCACTGCAATGTTTGCCACAGCAGATCACTCTGTCACTCTCATTCTTGCTCAAATCCCACCTCAGGCCTTTCTCTTCCTCTCCCTCTGGGTTGGGGACACTTTTCACTCTCCATGTGCCCCCACATCCAGTATTTAGGGTGATTAGTGCAGGCAGCACTGATGAGCACAGCCCTGGTGGTGCCTCTGCTCACACTGAGAGCCAAGCCTGTGTTTCAGAATGAAATCTACTGGAACGACTGGTCACAGCTGAGTATTTTCAGAGCATCCAAAACCAGCGGCTCCAGGATGGAGATCTTGGTCGGCCGACTGAACGGGATCATGGATATGAAAATCTTTTACAGAGGAAAGACAACAGGTAATGATGCAGATGATCCTCCCTGGGATTTAGAAATGTGTTCATCCCCCATTTCCACAGGTTCCCAGCCCACTGGGCCATCCTGGCTTGCATATCCTAAATATATCCCCATTCCTGCAGGGCTTGAGGCTTTCAGGAATGAGTTTTATGAGGGGTATATTCTGCTTTTGGCTGCCAGGAGAGAGAGCTCATAGGCCTCTCAGCTGTGGTGGCACCTCATAGTTTATGTCACAGATCCTGGCTTTTCCATCAAAGTGTTGTATAGACCAAAAAAAACACAGGATTTCAGGGCTGCACCAACTTTGTCCTCCTTTAATCATCTGTCTGTGTTGTGACAAGGTAGTGCTGACCCCCATGGGCTGTTTGTACCCATTTCCAGATGGGTACCACACCACTGAAGGGCTCTACACTGGAGGGACAAGAGGCACTCTGGGGGTGTAACTGACATCCTTTGATAGGCCTCCAAAGCCACTCGGATGAATTGTGCCCCTTAAAGGCCAATCTTTCCCCCTTAAAGGCCCTAAAATTCCCTGGAGATGGCTCTGGGCATTCCTAGGGGTGACCTCAGCACTCAGCCCTGCAGAGCTGGCTCCTGAGGGGGTCTGAACCCAAAGCAGGTGACACTGGGACTCCTGTGCCTCCATGCTGGGGTGGCAGGTGACACTGGGACTCCTGTGCCTCCATGCTGGGGTGGCAGGTGACACTGGGACTCCTGTGCCTCAGGTGACACTGGGACTCCCGTGCCTCTGCCCTGACACTGTCCCCTTCCTCCTGCCCTGCTGCAGGGCAGAACGCCTGCATCACCAAGCCCTGCAGCCTGCTCTGCCTGCCCAGGTCCAACAACGGCCGCAGCTGCAAGTGCCCCGAGGGGGTGGCCAGCACGGTGCTGCCCAGCGGGGAGCTCAGGTGTGACTGTCCCCACGGCTACGCCATGAAGAACAACACCTGCATAAAGGAAGGTGAGGTCCTGCCTGGCTCTTGCTGCTGCTCAGGGCTGAGGTGGCTTCTGCCACCACGAGAGGTCGGCGTGACCTGTCCTCTGTCGGGGAGGAGGGTGGCCCATTTCTGGAAGCACAGCCTCGTGCCAGCTTGTTTCTGTTGTCCCTCCTGCCCCAGAGAACACGTGCCTGCCCAACCAGTACAGGTGCTCCAACGGGAACTGCATCAACAGCATCTGGCAGTGTGACAATGACAATGACTGCGGGGACATGAGCGACGAGAAGAACTGCCGTGAGTGTCCTGTCCTGGTGGCACTGGCCTGGCAGCTTCAGGTGTCTGCTGTGCTGGCACCTCAGCTGATGCTCCACGCTCCTCTCACAGTCAGGGACAGCAAGAGGCTCTCTGGGGGTGTAACTCAGCTCTTTGGCAACTCCCAAAGCAAAATGGATGGGTTTTGTCCCAGCCCCCTTGACCAGATGAGGCGTCAGTGTCTCAAGTTTGGTGAGGCTGATGCCAACTGTCTCTTGCACTAATTGTCTTCTGAAGCTAATTGAGGGCACAGCCAGTGAGGAAAAGAGAGCAGACAGTGCTGACACAGGCCTCTCGTTGAGATAATAAATCAAGTTCACACATTAAAGATGGGGGTCACCTTTTTCAGCAAAGTTAGGAACTGCCAATGTGTGCAGGAGGGGCAGGTGTTCCACAGCTTTGCACAGCCTGAAGGGTTTGGGTTAGTGCACTGTGGAAAAAGGACTGGGTTTGAGGTTAGGGATCACTGAAGGACCAGGAGAGAGGCTGTTTATGCCCATTTTGTACCAATAAGGAACTTATTTCCCTGACAAAGTTGAGGTACCAGCCAGTGGAGTCCAAGTTTGAGTTCAGTGGCTCCAGGTGTGGGAAAACCTCTCCATTCTTTGGAGAGAGGTCACCAGCTTGGCACAGAGATGCTGCCTTGGATAGCAACACCCATGGCCAGCTTCTCCCCTGCTTTGGCTGCCCTGTCTCATCCCAGCACCTGAGGTTTCAGTCCCCTCTGTAGGGGGAGAGCAGACAGCTCTACAGCCTTGGCTTCTTGCTCCCTGGCTTGGGAATGGACATCAGGAATTTCAGTCCTGATCCCCAGACAGAAAACGGACCCCTGTGTGCTCTGCTTTACATGGAGTGCCTAAAAATGGCATTAAAATACAAGAGCAGGAATTCAGGTTGGACTGGCAGGATTCTGTCCCTGTCCTTCCACTTCCCTGCACTCAGTACACACCCTCAGGAAGCAGAAATAATTTTCTAACCACCACCTCCTCCTCCTCCTGTCTCCATCAGCAACCACCGTGTGCGACACCGAGACCCAGTTCCGCTGCCAGGGCTCGGGGACCTGCATCCCCCTGTCCTACAAATGTGACCTGGAGGACGACTGTGGGGACAACAGCGACGAAAGTCACTGTGGTGAGTGCCCACACTCAGCCTCCTGCCCTGGGCACGGGTGGGCAGCTGCTCTCCAGCGCTCTCTGTGCTGCTCAAGCTGCTCCTCCTCTGGATGCTGCTCAGGGGTGATGTAGGGGAAGATCCCTCTGTTTACCCAGGCTGTCTCCTCCTCATTTACTGGAGACTGGGAAATGGGGGACAGGACCAGCATTTACAGGGTATTTGGGAATTAGGGACAGCACCATCGTGTACTGGGAAGTGAGGGACAGGGGAAGAGAGTGAGGCCGTGTGCTGGTCCTTCCCCTCGCCATGTTCCAGCTGGGAGACTTCTGTGCCATTAGTGTCCAGCTTTCCTGTCTGCTCCTTGGGTATTCCTGTGACCTGAAGCCCAATATTTTGTTTGCAGAAGCTCACCAGTGCAGGAACGATGAGTTCAGCTGCAGCTCAGGGATGTGCATCCGTCTGTCCTGGATGTGTGATGGGGATAACGACTGCAGGGACTGGTCTGACGAAGCAAACTGCACTGGTGAGTGCTCAGGTGTTGCTCAAGAACCTCCTGCTGCTCCTACTTTTTACTTCCAGCCTGGGAGACATTAGCCAGTGTCTTGTGCCTCAGTTTCCTTGCTTGTTAGAGCACCTTAGGGTGATGTGATGCTCCAAATGCAAGGATTTCTTTCCCCCAGGTTCACTGGGAATTTGCTGGCAGCTCTGAGATGCTCACACAGTGACCCAGCTTTGCTTTTTACCTGCAAGACTGCACCCACAGGCAAAGCTCTGTGGAATGGGAAATGGTTTTGTGGCTGCTGAGCAGCCAAAGGGTTCTCCTGCAAAAAGAGCTCCCGTGTTGCAGGGAGGCAGCAACCAGGCTGCTGGCCACTGGCAGCATTTCACAGCTTTCACTCTGTTTCCTTGCCATTAATTAGGTGCAGAAAACAGGCACGCTCTTTGCAGCTTCTCCACAGTCAGCTGGTCTGAAGAAGAGGCAGGTTTAGTTTGGGAAGTTTAGTTTGGCAGCTTTAGTCCTCCTCTGGCAGCCTCATTGCTCCACAGGCTCAAAAACCTGAAGAGGGTGCCCTAAGCAGGGGGTCCCACATAGAAGACCCACTCGTGGTTTTACTTAGAACTGGTATTAAAGCAGCCTGGCTGGCAGAAATAACCTTGTTCCTTCTTTATGCCCCCTGTGCAGCAAGACCTGTGAGCCTCACTGTGTGTTTGGAGCAGAAAGTCACAACACTCCACCCTCCTCACCACCACAGTGATGCTCCTCAGCAGCCTGCTGAGATTAACGCCCACACAGAGCCTTTTTCTCATCAGAAAAAACAACAGATAGCAGTGCATGGGCCTTTTCCACTAGGAACAATCAAGCAAAACTATCAACCAAACCAAAAACCTCAGTGTTTGCACGAGGAGAAACTTCTCAGAGTAGGCAGAGCAGCAGTCCATCAGTGAAAGACACAAGGTTTGTATTTATCAAGCCATACATGGGATATTTCAAGATAAAAGCAGTGCTTTCCATGGCATAAGGAGCCTGCAAGGACCAGGACAGCCCCTGGGAATGCTGGCATCAGCCTGGAGCCTTTGGGACAGAGAGTGGCACCAGCTGTCCCGGGGCTCTGGCACGAGGATTTAAGAGATCCCTTCCAGGTCTTTGAGCTCCTCTTTGCTCACCCCTGTGGCATTTGCTGTGCCTGGAGCACCCAGGGCTGATCCTGGTCATTAGTATTCCATGAGTGTGGCTTTCTAAGAAGGTTTAATTTATATTGGTATCACTTATCTCTGGTATGCGTTTCTCCAGAGAGAATTACTACAGGAGAGGAGCCTACTTCAAAAAGCGTGTCGGGTTTGTAAAGCTCCCAAGTTGGAATTATCTAAGAGGATCACAATTATTTGAGGAACATTCCGTCTGACTTCACTGGGCTGCAATTATTGCTCTTATCTAAAATAATTACATTTCATGCTGAATACCTAATAGAATATTACTGCCACCAGATTGTACTATTTCCAAATATCTGCGAGTGCATGTCACTCTCTAACCTAAAACTCAGGATCGTGCAATTTAATTAAGTTGAACACTGCTTTTCTCAATAACTCTGAGTGCTCTCCAGCTTGAGGAGCAGGATTTGTCTCTGAAGTGACAACACAAACCAGGCTGCAACCCAGATACCCCACAGGCAGATATTTTCCTGACAGGAGCCTAAGGATAACCCCCAGGGAGAATCGTATTTCTTGTTTGCTTTGGCAACATAGAAGAGCCTTGTTTGCTTTAATTAAAAGCTCTCTCTGACTCTGTCCTGCCCTGCACGGGGGGCTCTGCAGCTCTGCCAAGGCTTGCTTGATCTCAGTGACATTTTTCACCATCTCTGGCACGATGCCACCTCTGTCACCTCTGCCCACGCACCCCAAGGACTGAGATCAAAGGGACAGAGGCTGCTGACTTTGGGGAGAGCTTTGGGACATCTCTACCCTGCAAAAGCCATCCCTGAGGCACAGCAGGCTTGTGAGCAAGAGTAGAAAACTGGGACTCAAGGAATTCTCCTGCCTGGTCTCCATGGGCTGGTTGCTTGTGCTGCCTTGATGGGAGATCCTGGGGCAGGGCAAGGAGCAGGGTGTGGTGGTGTGGGCTGATACTCTCAGCTCAGCAGGGACACGGTGACAGCCCACAGCTCAGGTGTCCCCCTGCTCTGGTTTCAGCAGTTTATCACACCTGTGAGGCCTCCAGCTTCCAGTGCCACAATGGCCACTGCATCCCGCAGCGCTGGGCGTGTGACGGCGACGCCGACTGCCAGGACGGCTCTGACGAGGACCCTGCCAGCTGTGGTAACGTGTCCTGCGTGTGTGGGGGGCTCTGCCACGGGTGGGAGGGATTTCTGCACACCCACTGAGCTACCCACACCCACTGAGCTACCCAGCAGCAAACTCAGGGGGAGAGCCCCCACCCCTCCAAAAGCAATCACAGTGCGGAGGCAACCGTGGCTTTTTTTTTCGCTAATTAAAACAGCTTTAGTGAAACCCCGAAAAACACACAACAGCCACCCAATTCTGCATTTCAGAGAAGAAGTGCAACGGCTTCCAGTGCCCCAATGGCACCTGCATCCCCACCAGCAAACACTGCGACGGCGTCAGCGACTGCTCCGACGCCTCGGACGAGCAGCACTGTGGTGGGTACCGGGCTCAGGGGGAGCTCTGGGGCCCAGCTCTGAGGGCTGGCAGCATTTCTGCTCTGCCCAAGCCAGAAATGGCAGCAAAGCCACTTTGCTCCACTGGGAGTAAAGCCCTGGGAGATAATGGGAAAGCCTTAGTGTGCAGTCACGGGCCCCCTGTGAAATCGGCGGGTCAGCAGAAGGCACAGACTGGGAGGACACTGCCAGGGAGGTGACCAACCCCTCCTGGTGCCTGTGCCCACCCTGAGAGGTGATTTGGTGAGGGCAGCCTGTGCAGGACACAGCTCAAACCCTTTGTCATGGGACGCTTTCCCTAAGTCCCCAAAATCTGCGTGCTGCACTCAGGCCTGCGCGGTCCCTGGTGGGTGACACTGCTGTTTGCAAGGACAGCAGAGGTGCCAGCCCTGTCCTCCTGTCCTCCTGTCCTGCCCCCATCCCTGCAGAGCCCCTGTGCACCCGCTACATGGATTTTGTGTGCAAGAACCGCCAGCAGTGCTTGTTCCACTCCATGGTGTGCGACGGCATCATCCAGTGCCGCGACGGCTCCGACGAGGACGCCAGCTATGCTGGGTGCTGTAAGTGTCACACTGGGCACCTCTGCCAAGGCAGGGTGGGCACAGCATGAAAACAGCCATGGGAACAGCCAGGCTTCCAGGGATGCCAGCTATGCTGGGTGCTGTAAGTGTCACACTGGGCACCTCTGCCAAGGCAGGGTGGCCACAGCATGAGACCAGAGCCCTGGGGAGAGCCAGGCTACCAGGAAGCTGCCAGCTCTCCTAAGAGGTGGCTCTAGACCTGCTTAGAAATCCGTGCTTGCCCCTGAGTGTGCTCAAGCTTTCCTGAAGCCCTTGGGTTTTACACCAAACCTCTCCCTGCAGCCCAGGACCCCGAGTTCCACCGGACCTGTGACCAGTTCAGTTTCCAGTGCCAGAATGGGGTGTGCATCAGCCTGGTGTGGAAGTGTGACGGGATGGACGACTGCGGCGACTACTCTGACGAAGCAAACTGTGGTGAGCAGCACCCCCAGGGCCTCCTGCAGCTCCAGCTTCCTTTGGATTCCAGGAGCATGGAGTAGTGTCTTCCTCATGTTCTCACTCATGTGTGTGTGCATGTGTGTGAGTGTAGCACATCACAGCCTGTCCTACCTGGAGATCAGTGTCATTTCCCTCCTGCTGCAGGCAGGTGAAGTGAAGCACGCAGAAAACCTGGCACATCTTGTGCTTGACTAACTCCTCTGTGACCATATTTACTGCACAGACTCCCAGCTCTGAGCAGACAGGCAGTTTGCAGCCAAACCCAATATTTACCACTGTTCCCTGGGTGGCTGTAGGAGCTGTACCCAGCCAGGCGAGGCAGCTGCAGCCTCATTTCGGAGCTGCAGGGTTTGCTCCTCCATTTCTGCCATGCTCTGGGGGATTCTGCTCTGGTTCTGAGATCAGGGGTGGTGTCTGGCCACGAAGAACACAGACAAAGCAGTGGTGGCAACAGAGTGAGGGGTGGAAGGAATGGGAATGCTGGGGATGAAGAGATGCTGGGGAAAGTGCCTGTGCTGCTCAGGGTGATGATCTCTGAGGTGTTCCCACGTCTGAGCTGTGCTGAGGGCTGCTGAGATGCCCCTGTGGCTCACAGGACTCTCCTCTCCTTGTCAGAAAACCCGACAGAAGCCCCAAACTGCTCCCGGTACTACCAGTTCCAGTGTGGGAACGGGCACTGCATCCCCAACCGCTGGAAGTGCGACGAGGAGAACGACTGCGGGGACTGGTCTGATGAGAAGGACTGCGAGGGTAAGGACACACTGCTGAGGCTGTGACACGGACATGGCAGGGACTGGGACATGCTGAAGGATCACTCTGCCTTCCCATAGCCCCCATGGCTACAAAAACACCCCATGAGTTGGCACTTTCATGCATCTTTTTACTCTGTATTTTTGGGTATCCTGATTGCAGACACAATGCAGGTGAAAACACCGAGCTTGTGATGCCTCACCTGCCTCCCCCTCGGCCAGCAGGGAGCTTACACAGGAGCAGGGAGCTCAGGCCAGCTCTCCCTGGTGTATTTTTAGGATCTCCAGTTCATCCCATTACCACGCTGATCCCCCCGACGTGCCTGCCCAACCATTTCCGCTGCAACAGCGGCGCCTGCATCATGAACAGCTGGGTGTGTGACGGCTACAAGGACTGCTCTGACGGCTCTGACGAAGAGGCCTGTCCCACCCCAAGTAAGCTCTCCTCTCCCTCACCCCTTCCCTTCTCCCACATCACATCTGCAAGCAGTTCTGGCCTTTCAGAGCCTGGCCAGGTTATGGGGTTCATTTGTGGTGTGAAATGTCCCCTGGCGCTGGGGTCACCCTCCACCTCTGCCACCAGCTGGGGCAGTGCTCCAGAGCAGGACATTCCCTGCAGAGCAGAGGCTTTTCCAGCCCTCTGCAGTCAGCAGAGAGGATGGCTAAGGCGTCATCCCCATCACCTGCTGGATGGAAGGAGATTGCCATCTAGTGGAGTCGGGACCTGGGGACAGCGCTGCTGGCTGCTGGTGGCGGTGCCAGCCCGGCGGTGCCTCGGTGCTCTCCTGCCTGTCTCTGTGTGTGTGCAGGACCCAACGTGACAGCCACGTCCCCAGCGCTCCCGGGGCGCTGCAGCCGCTTCGAGTTCGAGTGCCAGCAGCTGCACAAGTGCATTCCCAACTGGAAGAGGTGCGATGGAGTGAGGGACTGCCAGGACGGCACCGACGAGAGGAACTGCCGTGAGTGTGGGCAGGGACGGGGTCACACCTGGAGCTTTCCCCTGGGAAGCCTCTGAGGAGGCTTTGATTGCTGGGGAAAGCCCTGCAGGAAAAAAAAAATCCTTTACAGCAAACAGAAATCCTTTACGGAAAAAATTTAAAAAAGGATAAAAAGCCATGGTGCTATTCCCATTAGAAGTCCAGTTGTTGTTTTTCATGGGATGAGCTTCAGGTTCTTCTGAAGGTGCAGCCAGAAGGAGACACCCCAGTGTCTGACACATCAGCCTGAGCTCCATCCCTGACCTGCAAACATTCCAGTGCTGCCGAGGGAACTTCCCTGCCTGAGTCCTGAACTGTTCTGCCTCTTGCAGCTACTCCCAGCAGCCTGTCGTGCCCCAGTGGCTTCAGGTGTGAGGATGGGGAGGCCTGCATCCTGCTGACAGAGCGCTGTGATGGGTACCTGGACTGCTCAGACAGCAGTGACGAGAGGAACTGCACAGGTGAGCAGCAGCCCCCTCCCATCCCGCACTCCCTGCTCCCTGTCAGCACTCAGACCTGCTCTCCTGGGTATGTGACCTTTCCCTCCCAACATCCTTGATTTATCTGCCTCTGCTCAGTTGTCCAAGCTGCCTCCTCACCCATTTATCAGCAGCTTGGACAAACTTCCCAGCAGCTTCTACACTGACAATTTGTCTTCCAGCAGCCTCAGACAAAGGGAAAAAAAAATCATTTTAGGATGGATAGGAGCAAAGCTGTCTATTTTACACAGCCCACAGGTGACGTGAGTCTCCTGCTCTGCCCTCCTTTGCAAGGTGACCTTGGGGGATGTGGCACGTGCCCTGGTGTCCCTTGGTGGCCCTGTGGGGGCAGAGGGACAGAGCCCACCCTGGGCTGATAAGAGGGATTGATCACTGCCTCCAGCCAGCCATGAGCTTCAGCAGCTCCCCCACCGAACTGCTGCGGGGGCTGGGCATCAATCAGGTTCAGTTCTTTAATTAAATATTGATTGGGAGAGGCTAGCAGGTTCAGGGGAGGGGGAAGGAGCTGCTGAGATGCACAACTCAGCTGCTACACTGAGGGAAAACCATCTCTTTTCCCTTGGAAAAATTGCCTTGCCGTGCTGTCCATGGCCCCACGTGCCTGCTGGATTTAATTCCAGCTGTTTAGGGAAAGCAAAACAGCAGCAATTTGCCTCTGCTCTGCTTGGTTTCTGTTCAGCACCAAAGCTTGAGCACCCCAGCAGAGCCAAAGCACAACAGTGGGATTTGGGCTCCAAAGAGAGAGGGATTTGGGCACACAGAGAGAGAGCTGGGAGGGTCTGGTGGGAGCAGGGCACGGATTTGGGGCATTTCAGATCAGCACCTCCCATTCCCAGCCCTGCCAGGACTGGGTTCCATGGTGCTTTTATCCCTTAAATGCCTCTGTGAAGGTCAGGCAGTGGTTCAGCCACAGAGTTTGTGTCCAGGCAAGCCCCAAACTTGAATTCCCATCCTTTGCTTGGTCCTGCTGCTGAGCAGATGTGATAAGGGAAAACACACAAAGAAAGGCCCTGGGTGCTGACAGGGACAGCAGGAGAATGACACTGGGCAGTTTGCACTCACACACTGAGCAGATGTGATAAGGGAAAACACACAAAGAAAGGCCCTGGGTGGTGACAGGGACAGCACAGACTGATCACAGCAGGAGAAGGGTGACACTGGGCAGTTTGCACTCACACAGTTCCAAAATTCCCAGTATTTCATCAACAGCCACACTTTATCTTTCCTTAGGGGAAAGGGGACTGATGCAGCATGAAGACATTTTGGGTAGAACTAAGAGCAGCAGGGGTGAATCCCTGCTCTGAGCTGCCCTCTGTGAGCCCAGGCTGATAAATCACACATCTCATTTAAGTGCTGCAGACACCCCTTCAGTCAGTGCTGTTCCCGCCTCCCCTGCTGTTGGTGTTACAAACAAAACTCCTGGCTCTCTCCTGGGCACAGGGCTTGTTTCCCTGCAGCAAATTCACTTTTCCCATTCTCTGCTCAGATGACACAATCGTGTACAAGGTCCAGAACCTGCAGTGGACAGCTGATTTCTCTGGTGATGTCACCCTGACGTGGGCTCGGCCAAAAAGGATGTCCTCGACCTCCTGTGTCTACAACATCTACTACAGGTACATCATCCCTCCCCTGCTGTTGTAGCAGGTAAAGAGGACAAGCGTGAGCACAGGTGTGCCTGTGTTTACTGCAGAGAACCACATAGAATCAGCCCTGAAACATTCAGAGCTCCTTAATCAAGTTCTGCTTGGAAAATTTAATATTTGGTAGCAAAAGAGACACAAAATAGGTGCACAAAGAGGGCATTTGGGACAAAGTGCATTGGTTTCCTCCTTGACTGTGTACTCAGACAGTAAAGTTGTTATATTATTTTTTTTTCCACTTGGGTCTTGTCTTTGTGGGACCATTAACAGCAAGAACAAAGAGAATAAATTTGAGCACAAGAGTTGTAGAAAAGGTCAGGGGCTTATAAGTCACCAAGTCATGGTTAGTTCAGTGGCATCTTTTCAAGACTGGTGGTGTGGCTGTACCAAAATGAGCAACAACCCCTTAAAATGGTTCCATTTTTCGGGACAAATCCCTGTGTCCTGTGCTAAAAGAGCCCATCCTGACTGGAGGCGTGTGGCTCTGTCCCTCAGGATGGTCGGTGAGAGCATCTGGAAGATCCTGGAGACCCACAGCAACAAAACCAACGGCGTTTTGAAAGTCCTCAAGCCTGATTGCAGCTACCAGGTGAAGGTGCAGGTGCAGTGCCTGAGCCGGGTCTACAACACCAACGACTTCATCACGCTGCGGGCGCCCGAAGGACGTAAGCACAGCTGCTGCTCCCTCCAGTGCCTGGCACATCTGGGGATTTGGGCTGTGCTGTGTGTGCAGGGAATGCCCCAACAAAGGCGGGAATGATGCCTTTGGAATGGAGTCAGTGTCTGACTCCGTGTTCTCAGAAGGCTAATTTATTATTTTATGATTTTATATTATGGTAAAGAATCCTATACTATACTAAAGAATAGAGAAAGGTTACTGAATGCTAAAAATATAATAATGAAAACTCATGACTCTTTCCAGAGTCTCAACACAGCTTGGCTATAATTGGCCAAAGAGCCAAAACAACTCACAGCAGAACCCAATGAAACAATCACCTGTGGGTAAACAATCTCCAAACACATTCCACATGAGCAAAACACAGGAGAAGCAAATGAGATGAGAATTGTTTTCCTTTTCTCTGAGGCTTCTCAGCTTCCCAGGAGAAAAATCCTGGACGAAGAAATTTTTTCAGAGAATGTGAATGCCACAGGACTGAAAAGTAGAGATATCCCTGCTCTGAACAAAAAGGGTCTTTCCATGGGCTTGGGAATTCACAGAATGACCAGGTTGGAAGAGACCTTCAAGACTATTGAGTCCAACCCAGCCCCAACAGCTCAACTCAACCCTGGCCCCCAGTGCCACATCCAGGCTTTGTTAAACACACCCAGGGATGGTGACTGCACCACCTCCCTGGGCAGAACATTCCAGAACTAGAATTGTGCTGGACTGGGAGAAAGGGCCACCCACCCCTTTGTCCTGATTTTTCAGGGAGATGCTGCTTTTCCCCACACGCTCTGGGCACATTACTATGACTGTCACTAATATTTCTCTTTCTCTCACTAGTACCAGATGCTCCCCTCAACCTCCAGCTCTCCCTGAAGAAGGAAGCTGAGGGTGTGGTGATGGGCTGGTGGAGTCCCCCCGTGAACGCCCACGGCCTCATCCGGGAATTCATCGTGAGTGCTGCTGCCCTTGGGGGCTGAGCCCAGCCGGGTGGCGTGGGGACACCAGCACACAGCCAGCTGCAGCGGGGGTGGGCCTGGAATGGGATATTTTGGGGAGGAAATCTGCTGGGAGCATCAGGCAAGTTGGGAGAAGAAATGCTGTAGGCAGCACCACAGCCCTCGAGTTGTTAATTTCTCCCTTTCTGAGATGTCGTGCTTCTTTCTGCTGGCATTTTGTCTCAGAGGGACCTGCTGACCTGTGGTATTTTTGAGCCCTCACGCCTTGTTTTGGTGCTCCTAGGTGGAATACAGCAGCAGTGGATCCAAGGAGTGGTCATCCCTCAGAACCACCAAGAACTACACCGAGATCAAGAACTTGCAGGTCAACACTCTCTACACAGTCAGAGTGAGTATTTCCAAAGCTCCCTCTCAGAGTGAGTATTTCCAAAGCTCTTTCAGGGTATTTCCAAAGCTCCCTCTCAGAGTGAGTATTTCCAAGGCTCTCTCTCAGAGTGAGTATTTCCAAAGCTCCCTCTAAGTGAGATCTCATTCCTGAGTGGCCTAAGTCCTGTACAGCCAAAACTTGCTAAAAAAACATCTTGTTAAAAAAAAAAAGTCTTGCTAAAGCCCTGCCCTTTAATGCCAACCCACACCACCACTGCTAATATCTGTAGTTCCAAGGCCCTTGATTTGCTCCTTTGTCCCAGAAGGCCAGGCTGGATTACAAAATCCTCCCTGCTAATTGCCCATTCCAATGTCACTGCAATTGCACTGGATGTGGGCCAGAGATAAATTTGGGCCTTGGTGTATCAGGGGGAAAAGAAGCAGATCTGCCTGTGGGGAATGTCTGCACTGGGGAGAGGCTGGGTAATTATAGACAGAAGTAATAAAAAGAGGAAATGAAAAGTCTGCACAGTGAGCCCTGGGAAATGAGTGCTTTGCCATTGTCCATCCTCCTGAGTTCTTGGGGAAGTTCACTGCGAGGGGGGATGAATCCCCTCCTCCAAATCCGTGTTATTCTCTCAGCTGGTTGGAGGCTTTCCTCCCCTGGTATTCCTTCCCAATATAATCCATCCCCAGATAAATCTTTGGAAGTATTTCAGGGCTTGCATGTTCTTCCCTGGCGTGGTTCTCACCTACTTTATGGCCCGTGGAGTCCCCAGCTCCTTATCTCGATGGACTCCTCAAAGATCTCATCAGAGAGCAGTTATCTACAAAGAGGCTGCACCTCCCTCCTCTTAGATTCCTTTAATTGACTTTAAGCAGTCGGCTTTATCTCTGCATTAAGCATTTTATTGCCAAGTAATTAAGCTATTGTTTGCTTCCAAGTCCTTTTCCCAGGAGCCCTGCCAGGTCTGTAACCTTGCTCTCACCTCCCCTCTCTGTTTGCACTGTAAAATGTTGCTCATGTTCCCTCATCCCTCTCCTTTCCAAAGGTTGCTGCAGTAACCAGCCGAGGGGTGGGAAACTGGAGTGAATCCAAGTCCATAACCACGGTCAAAGGCAAAGGTAAATGTTGTTGTTTGGGTCAGCTCAGAGAAGGTGACAGCGAGGCAGAGGATCAGCCTGAAACATCATCAGCAGCATCCAGAGCCACCTCCCTGGCCTTTATTCTCCCTGCTGAGCCTTTCACAGCTTTGCTGTTAAAAGTGACCTGTAAAAAGTGACTTTTTCACTCATCCTGAGCTGCCTCAGAGTTCAGTGGCATCTCTGGAGGGGTCACTGCCTCTTCCTCTGAGCCCTGTGGCACAGGGGATGGGTGTGCTGCCCTGGAACTGAGCAAGAGCCTGTCCTCTCTCTCCAAGGCTGCAGACAGATTCCCTCAGACTTTTGTAGGCCAAATTCTGCCTCCAGATAGATGAGAAATTACCAGCTCCATCACTCTGACTCTAAAAGGATGCTGGCTCATTCTTCTCCCTCTTAGGTCATAATTATTGTGGCTCCTCCTGCAGGTTTAGACCATAAAAAACAACCACAGCTCCCAAGAACTATCACAACATCACAGTCTAACAGCAGATAAATTCAAACAGCACAGTAAATCATTTCCTTTCCAACCTGTTTTTTGTTTTTTTTTGTTTTTTTTTAAGAAAAGCCTTTTGAAGTCGTTTGTATTCATGCCAAGTTTTTCATCCAAACTCATGTACCTGCATCAAAATTGTCTGCTAATTTGTCAGATGAAAGAAGGGAAAGAAAACACCAGGCTCCTCAAAGTGCGGGATTCAGATCATGTGAATTACCTGATGATTAGAAAAACAGGTAGAAAGAACAGAAACAGCTCTGACTTCAGGTTTTGCATGAGTGCTTGGCACAGATAGCTCCTGCCCTCCCTCAGCAGCTCCTGGGATAGGAGTTCAGAGGGAAATCCCTTTGCCCAGACCCCTCCAGTTCCAGCCTGCACTAAGCAAGGCACAGGTAAAGCAGCTTTTAGGTGCTGGAGTTAAAAATGATGTCAGTGTCTTTGAGGGGGACATGTCTTAGGCAGGTCGGGGCATCCTGTTCTGGGAGCTGGGTGTTAACACAAAAAGCTGTATTTTATCTGTCCCCTCTCAAGAAATATTTTTATTTCTTTGTGCTGTACTAACAGGTCTTGTCTCTCTTTCCTCCCAGTCATTCCTCCCCCTGTCATCCACATTGAGAGCTACAGTGAGGACTCCATAAGTTTCAGCCTAAAAATGACCACAAATATCAAGGTAAGAATTTTCCCCTTTCCATCTGAGCTGGGAAAATGGTGAATAGTGGCTGGGAGAAGCTGTCACCCACTGAAGCATTGCAATTACCAGTTATTTCCTGCCAAATCATTTCTTCCTGCTCCCAAACTGCCCCGGGGCTCTTAATTGGGATGGAAAATACAATGCAAGGACTGTCAGGGGTCTGACAGTAGCCCTGGTTCCCTGTGTGCATCAGCTGAGCTGATGGCTCTGTGTCCTTGGGCTTGACAGGTCAGTGGCTACGTGGTCAACATCTACTGGACATTCGATACCCACAGGCAGGAAAAAAGGACTCTGGTCATAGAAGGAGAAAAGTCCATCCAAAAAGGTAAATTCCGCTCAAAATAGAAAGCTTTGCTTTGTTCAACACCAAGCATAAGGATTTATGAGAAGTTATAGGATTATTTTATTTCTTTTTTGCTACTAGTAGTTCTGTTTAAACAATCCTGTTTAAATCTGGACAGGACAAAGCAGCAAATTCTCTGTTCTGAGGACCTGGGGATTTCAAGCAGATTCGGGATTTACCCCCAGAGCTGCACTAGTCCTTTCTCATCACATGGGGTTTTGTTTGTTGTTCCATTTTTAATCTGCCAAAGGGAGTAGAAACAGAACAAGGATTCCTTGGGCTTGCACACAGCACATGTCCCTGTTAATCACATTTCTGGTTTGGGAAAATCTCAGTGTGGATATGTGAAGTCATCCAGGCACAGAAAAGGCTGGGTTGGACTCCAGAGTCTCAGGTGCTTCTGTATAAAGGAAATTACTGCAAAGTCATGAAAGTGCAGCCCAGGAGAGGCAGGCTCCTGTCTGTTTGTGATGCTGACCCTTCTCTCGTGCTCCCACCCTGCCCTTGCCGTGCTTTGCCTCCCCTGACAATGCCCCTTTCTCTTCTTGCTCAGTGGCCAATTTGACAGCACACACCCCCTATGAAATCTCTGCTTGGGCTAAGACGGAGCTGGGTGACAGCCCTCTGTCCTTTGTGCATGTGGTGACCAGTGGCACCAGGCCTGTGTCCCCAAGCCTCAAGGCCAAGGCCATCAACCAGACGGCCGTGGAATGCAGCTGGACTGGCCCCAGGAATGTGGTAAGGCACCAGCCCTTCCCTCAGCAGCCACCCTGCAGCTCAGAGCCTCAAAGCAGCACACAAAACCCCTGAAATCAGGATAATTTGTTTGGATTGAATTCCAAGGCCCTGAAAATTTTGGGGATAGTGAGGGGAAGAACCATTTAAACAGAAGCAAAGCAAGGCTTCTTGTTTGTTTGTTGCAGTGAGAAGTGGCTCAAACACAGAGAGAGCAATGCTCCAGCAGCCTTTGAATCAACTGCTGTTACCTGAGCTGAGCTCAGGGGTTTTGGGTTGGGAGTTCAAAGGAAAGTGGGCAGATGGAACTTGGCCAAGACAGAGGGAAAAGCAGGGAAAAGGGTCCAGAGGGAAAAGGGTCTTTGCTTCAGGCCCCTAAAATGTGACAACCAGTGGGAAATGGAATTGTAGAAAATTCTCAAAGTCTGAGAGAAGTCTATTTCCTAATTACAATACATTGTGTTTCTTAAACTATCAACTTTTACCACACCATACTGTAAATACCTTAAAACCAATAATCTAAAATTACCCCTCGTAAATCCTGCTACAGTACATCTTCCATAGCTGTATTTCTCCAAAGTATCTAGTCTTATTTACAAAACCATCCTTTAAAACTTGTTTCTAGTTCCATTTGTCTCTCAACAATATCTGTCCTATTACATGACATTTCTAAGTCAACATTTCTCCAAAGTATCTCGTCTTATTTACAAAACCATCATTTAAAACTTGTTTCTAGTTCCATTTCTCTCTCAACAATATCTGTTTCTAGCTCCATTTCTCTCTCAACAGTATCCATCCTATCCCATGCCATTTCTAAGTCAGCATTTCTTATCTCCAAGTTTACATACAGATACGCACCACGTAAACCTGCTGTCAGACTTTGAGCACTTTCTACAAATCCATTTCCCACAGCAGCCAGGGGATGCTGTGGGCCGTGCCAATCCCTGCTGTGCTTTTCCTCCTCAGGTTTATGGAATTTTCTACGCCACGTCCTTCCTGGAGCTGTACAGGAGCCCCCACAACAGCACCACCAGCGCGCACAACGCCACGGTGCTGGTGCAGCGCGACGAGCAGTACCTATTCCTGGTGGGCTCCCCTCCTCCTCCTCCGCCCTCTGCCCGCCCCCTGGCTCCACCAGGACGCTGCCCTGACCTCTGTGCCTCCCTCCCAGGTGCGGGTGGTGTCTCCCTACCAAGGGCCCCCCTCTGACTACGTGGTGGTGAAGATGATCCCGGATAACCGGCTGCCGCCGCGGCACCTGCACGCCGTGCGCACCGGGAAGACGTTCGCCGCCATCAAGTGGGAATCGCCCTACGACTCACCCGACCAGGACATGGTAACACCTCACAGAGCCTCCTCCTGGCCCTGTGCACACAAAATCCTGCCTCAAACACAGATCCTCGCCTTTCTTCTGCTGGAGAAAGCCCGAGGTCAGGTCTATGCTCCGCATAAAATCGTCGTCAAAGTGCGGACAACTCCAACATCTTCGTTTCCTCCCTGCTGGCCATGAGCTCAGGAGTGTAACATTTAAAAAGAGCCAGGTCGGGGATATCTGCTCTGACCAAGTCTAAAACCAGCCCTGGGCATGTGCCAAAACACCTTTCTGGGCTTTGGCTCTGCCCAGGAGGGCAAGGCTGGGCTGGGGCTCTGCCTCCTGTCTCAACAAAGCCCAGCTCTGTTCTCTGCCCCGCTGGAATACACTCAGGTCTCGCTCCATTGAAGGCCAGTCATTTTCTCAGCAAGCTTTCCCCTCCCATTCTGCTCCAGAGACTTTAACAGCAAAGGTTTGGAGGTATAAACCTTCCCAGCAGAGCTGGAAACTCTGACAGGGCAGAGGTTTGTGTTGCATCCTTGTGATTCACTGAGAAATACAACCTGAGCTTTTCCTCCTGCTCTCATCTGTTCCACTAAATGCATTTTCTGTATCACTAAATGCTGATTTTGGGCAGAGATCCAGAGAGAGGCTTGGAATTCTGCTCCCCAGGCTTTCTGTAAAGCTCAGCCTTGGTTTAAAGCAAATTTTACCCACCCTGTCTAATGTCCTACCACTGTTTAGCTGAAATTCTGCAAGAAAATGAGATTTTTTTCATCCATTTCCTCCCCCTCCAGCTCTATGCCGTGGCAGTTAAAGATTTGGTGAGGAAAACAGATAAAATCTACAAAGTGAAAAGCCGGAACAGCACGGTGGAGTACACCATAAAGAAGCTGGAGCCAGGAGGGAAATACCACGTGATTGTCCAGCTGGGAAACATGAGCAAGGAATCCAGCATGAAGATCAACACAGGTGAGGGACACACCACCCACCCTGAGCTGCCTGGAGCTGCAGAAATGTTCCTGCAGCTCTTGGTCCTCTCCCACAGGCAAAGCCCAATTTTGGGAGGCCTCCCAGGGGAGGTGGTTACACCCCCAAACAACAGCAGTGGGGAGGAAGCTTCTCAAGTGATATCCAGTGTTTTCCTCCTGATAAATGGAGATGGGAAAGACACCAGTTTGGCTGTGTGCACATCACCAAGTACCATTACAACCCTACCAGTGAAAAATTCCCCCCAGCTTCCACACCACAGCATCCTCTCCTCCAGCACATCCCTTTTCCAAGCAGAGCATTGTGCTGATCCCTAGAAAACCCCACTAACTTTCAGAATTTACTCCGTTTGTGTAAGAGGAAAGTGCCACCAGTGCTACAACCTCACCTGCTGCCACTTTTTCCCATTTGCAGTCCCCCTCTCTGCACCGGACGCCTTAAAAATCATCACTGAAAACGACCATATTCTGCTTTTTTGGAAGAGTTTGGCGCTGAAGGAAAGTAATTTCAATGAAAGCCGGGTAAGTTTTGCTGTGCCTCCTGTCCTACAGAAAATCCTGGAGCAGAGTCAGTGCAAGGCTCCTTTCACAGGCTCTGAAATCCATCCTGTCCTTGGTGAGCCCTCTAGAAGGCTTCACTAAAATTCACGTCATGGCTGAGGCTCTGAAGCTGATAGATCCAATCAGTCACCTTTTAGGAACATAATTAGCCTGCTAGAAAAGGACAATTGTCCCCTGTGTGAAAGGACTGAGAATAGGACACTGCTCTGCCATACCAGGAAGTCTGGAAGTTGTCATTATTCAGATTTGGATAGAAAATCTTTGAAATGTTGTCTGTCAGAGCATGGGCAGGGAAAAAACTGCACCAAGAAAGCCCTCACCCTGCTGGACTCTGTGCTGGGGTGGGTGCTAAGGACAGAGTGGACCAGACAAACCAAACCAGAGTCATTTAGGTTGGAAGAGACCTCCAAGGTTGAGTCCAAGCTGTGCCTGATCCCCACCTTGTCCCCAGCCCAGAGCACTGAGTGCCACCTCCAGTTGTTTCCTGAACACCCCCAGGGATGGGGACTCCCTGGCCAAGCCCTTCCAATGTTTAACAACCCTTTTAGTGAAGAAATCCCTCCTGATGCCCAACCTGAGCTTCCCCTGGCACAGCTCGAGGCAGTGTCCTCTCATCCTGTCACTTGGCAGAAGAGAAATCTCTCCTTCCTGAACTGGCCAAGGTCAGTGCACACTAGCAGGGCTTCCTGGAGGAGGTTCCACATTGCTCCCTCCCAGTTCACAGCCCAGCAGGGTTCATCAAAGCCAGATCCAGGAGGAAAACCAAATTTCCAAGCCCTTTTGGAAGGAGCAAACCCTCCCTCTGCAGCTGAGTGACTTGGGGCTTGCGTTTCCCTCAGGGCTACGAGATTCACATGTTTGACAGCCTGATGAACATCACAGCCTACCTGGGCAACACCACAGAGAACTTCTTCAAGGTGTCCAACCTGAAGATAGGCCACAACTACTCGTTCAGCGTGCAGGCCCGGTGCCTGTACGGGGGGCAGATGTGTGGGGAGCCAGCCACGCTCCTCTACGACGAGCTGGGAACGGGTGAGTCCCTATTTCCTCCTCATCCTCCTTAAAAAACCACTCAGGGAAGCCTTATAAATTCTTTAGGGATGTGTCGCCCTGTTCTTCTAAGTTCTTCTCTGATGTTTACGTTCTTGTAATGGAGTTTCTCATGCAGTTTTATGTAAATAATGATTGTTTTTACATTCCTCTCTGGAGGAGGAGAAATTTGATGGACTGTTGGTTTGTCCAGTGTCATTGGTGAGGTGGCAATTTCATCCTCCAATCCACTGTCACTTCTGAAAATCTATAAATATTGGAATCAGGAAATAAACTTCCTTTCTTTTCCCTTCTTCTTACCTTGGAGTTCCAGTGTCCTCGTTGTTTTATTGCGACAAGGGATGTGCTAAAACAGCGCTTGTGTCCCTCCCTCACCAGGTAAAGACTCCTCAGCCACCAAATCGGGCCAGGCCACGGACGTGGCTGCCATCGTGGTGCCCGTGCTGTTCCTGCTGCTGGTGACCCTGGGCATTGGCTTTGTGGTGCTCTACATGAGGCACAGGAGGCTCCAGAACAGCTTCACTGCCTTCGCCAACAGCCACTACAGCTCCCGCCTGGGCTCGGCCATCTTCTCCTCGGGGGATGATCTGGGTACGTGGCCCCTGGTGGCATTTGGGGACAGCGCTGGGGCTGTGACATCGGGGCAAGAATTAATTCTTTATCTTGGTTTGGGCCACTCTGGCAGCACAACCTCTATGGATTTGATTGTAGAGTACAAGTCATAGAATTACAGAGTCGTTAAACATGGAAAAGATCTTCAAGATCATCAAGTGCCAAAAGTTTTATCAACCAAATATTTTGATCACATTAAACCTCTCCTTCCAATGTAAATCACTTAAAAAACGTATTGAGGATGTGAAATCAGGGCAAGAATTAATTCTTTTATCATGGTTTGGGCCACTTTGGCATCACAGTCTCTATGGATTTGATCTCAGAGTACAAGTCATAGAATTAGAGTCCTTAAACTTGGAAAAGATCTTCAAAATCATCAAGTCCAACTGCCAAAACTTTTCCCAAGAAAACGTTTTTATCAAATAAACCTCTCCTTCCAATGCAAATCACTTAGAAATGCACTGAGGATGTCAAATCAGGGCAAGACTTAATTCTTTATCATGGTTTGGGTCACTCTGGCATCACAATCTCTATGAATTTGATCACAGAGTGCAAGTCATAGAATTACAGAGTCGTTAAACATGGAAAAGATCTTTAAGGTCAAGCCCAACTGGTGAAAGTTTTCCCAACTAAACATTTTTATCAAATTAAACTTCTCCTTCCAATGTAAATCACTTAGAAAACCGAATTGAGGATGTGAAATCAGGGCAAGAATTAATTCTTTATCATGGTTTGGGCCACTCTGGCAGCACAGCCTCTATGGGTTTGATCTCAGAGTACAAATCACAGAATTACGGGGTTGTTAAACTTGGAAAAGACCTTCAAGATCATCAAGTCCAACCCCCAAAATTTTCCCAACCAATATTTTTATCAAATTAAACCCCTCCTTCCAATGCAAATCACTTAAAAACAGATTTTAAAGTGCTGAGGCTAAAACCCAGATTTTTTAAGTGCCCCCTATCAGCTCTGTTTTGGGTTTGTTTTCCAGGAGATGAGGACGATGAGGCCCCAATGATAACTGGATTTTCAGACGACGTCCCCATGGTCATCGCCTGAAGCGCATTTCTGACTGTACAAAACCAAATGGTGTAAATATTTTATTTGATAAAAATAGTTGATTGTTTATTTTAAAAATGCACTTTGAGTTGCAATACGTTATTTTTATATGGGCCAAAAAAAGAAAAAAATAATAATAATTTTAAGAATACACTTTGTAGTAATCAACTGTGAATTGCAGACTAGGTTGGTTGAGTAACAAATTGCTTTGATTTAACATTAATTTAGTCTTACAAGGCTATGCTTGCTGGGCATGCTTTTAAGTCTGTGAGATATTTTCCGTTGACTAAATTGGCTACTCATTTTATTTTTCTAAGACAAGAATAAATTTATTTAAAAAAAGAAAAATTCAGGAGATTATATATGTAGAGAGAGATAATATAGTCCCTGAAGGTTTTGCTTTTACTTTAGGACAAAAAAAAAATCCTTTGGACTTTGTTTTATATGAAAGTATTTTTGTTGTGTTAATTTATTGGGAAATCTGCTGAGGAACAGATTTCCAGAGTCGTCAGACATTGTACACATTCTTGTGTAGAACATGTGCCACTTTATCTTGCAAGGCAGTCGTATCTTGGCATCCCCATCGTTGTCCTTGCCACGATAATAAAAACCTTCATTTTCACAGAGTTTTTCTCCCTTTTAAAGACCCAATCTTTGAGCAATCTTAAAGTACAGCAGCACATTTTTTTTAGGGGTGACTTTTGGCTTCCTGCTGCTGTGGGAAGTCAAAAATAGCCCCACACCAAGATGTGCTGCCCAAACCCTTAATTAATTAATCTAGAGTTTACAACCTGACTTAATTAATCTGGAGCTTACAATCACCCCATCACTGGAACAAAAAATTGCCACTTGCACCTTAAAACTGATTTTCCAGGTATTTTTAGGATACCCCTCCTCCGTGGAGCTTCCCTCAGATGCCAGCACGGTGGTGGGACGGAAGGGGGAATCTCCAGTGTGTGCAAATCCAGATTTTCCACACTCACACGGAGCAGTAATTACTGAAAATTTAAATTAATTTAGCCCACAGCAGGGATTTGATGCTCCCTCGTCGGAATTTCCTAAAAGCAGCTGTAGTTTTACCTGCAGCTTTGGAAAAAATATAAATATACACACACACACATACATGTTATTTTCTCATCTCACATTCCCAGCAGACACAACACTGGCTGCAGAGCCAAATGCAAAGAGTCTGCTTGCCACTGTTTGGAGCTTTGATTTTGTGACAGCAAAATGTGAATTTCACCAAAAAATGTGAACCTCACCACTACCTGCCAACCCAGGGGCACGACAGGAGAGGATGTTCAGGGCTCTCCCCTGGCTGTGCTCAATATATGCAAAACTTCTCACCAGGAAATGCAGCACACTGTCTTGTCACACTGTTTTTGTGAAAAACAAAGGTATTTTTGCTGTGTAAATTAAGTTATAATTGCAGTCTTCCTACAGATGAAACGAGAGAGGCCAACTATGTTTTGATACGTGACTGATCCATTTAATTTCACAATAGAAAAATGTATAAAAAAAAGTTGAAGTCTGGATGGTTTGATACTCTAGAGAAATACTGACTCTATTTTCAATTACTGCTGTTAGCATTCCCGGTGACAGATTTTTTTTTCCTCCCCACCAAAGCTGGGACCAAACTAGAATCAGATTTTTGTAAGTAGCAGCAAGCTCGCAGAGTTGCAATATTTTTAGCTTGTCAGTGGATCAGGTGCTGTTCAGGAGTTGAACTTTTGAGGAAAATCAACCCAGCACAGAGAGCTCAATTTGCCTGGAGTTACAGCTACACAGAGAGACCAGACTCTGACCCAGAGGCTAAACCAGCCTCAAAAACATAAATCAAAAGATTTTATGCAGGAGAGGAAACCTAAAAAACAGAGATAAGGAGTATTTAACCCCTTATTTATAAAGTAAATTTTTTTAGCACAGTTAACTGAAAATTACAATGTAGCATCCCAAAATCTGGTGCCTCTCTGGTGAGGGTTAGGAGTGGTTAAATTCTGATATTTTACTCCCCCAGGGTAAATCCTGCTGCAGTAAAAAGAGCAGAATTTAGATTCTAGCCCATCTCTGCCCAGCCAGATGCCAAGGGGGACCCTTGTAACCACTTTATATCCTGCAGAAATCCCTTGGCTGGAGATTTCCAAGCATCACCTGGGGGACAGCTCACTCCTGGCCACTCTGAAAGGCTCCTGGCTCGGGGACACTCGTGCAGAGCAAAGCATTTTGTACCCAAAACCCAAGACTCTTGGTTAAATCTAACTCTCAAACACAGTTTGGGCAGAGCAGAGCCCTCTGTGGAGCCACCCCTGCGTGCCCAGGGGTTTGGGGACACTGCAAAGCCCTTGTGGGGACAGCACTGTCACTCAGAGCTGTCCCCAACCCTCCCCTTCACTGCAAAAATCACCACTGTGCTCTCAGCAAAGCAACTTTCACAGGGCTAGTGCATTTTATATATAGAGATAGAGGAGTCTGGGCTCCAGGTGGGGAGTACCCGATGCAGTTCTGGGGTAAATTGTATATTTTTATGAACTTTTGAAGCACGGAATCTTGTTCACAGAGACATACAGGGGGTGGGAGGGTTCTGCTGTAAATATGGTACGTGGTTGTGGATGTATATTTTGTTCTGGTTTCGTTTCAGTAGCCTTATGTGACGTGACATGACTTGCTACCCTAAATTTCGGGAGGTGATTTGAGTTTGCTTTATAGGAACCCAGTAAAATGTTTGGATCTGTATGGAAAACTAAAAAAGGGTATGCAAAATACTCTGGTTAGGAGGAACTTCCAGCAGTTAATTTGTGTTTGTACCCATTTCAGAGGCCCATGAGTACTCTCAAGTCCATTTGAACAAAAGACTAAGGTTGAACACGAAAATCTCTTGAGGTTTTGGACCATGAGGCTTCTTTTGCTTTGGCTCAGGCTTTTTGTGAGGTTTCCTTTTTTGTGTTGGGGGTTTGGTTTTTACAAGAAAGGACAAGGAGGTACCATTTCCCAGGCTGGAGACCTATTAAAGGTCAATAAAAGGCTCTTTTCAGTCTGAATAAACCCCATCTGTGGGTTGCCAGCCCTGTAAAAATCTCCCTGAACCCAGTGAGAGCAGAGCCCATGCAGGAGCTCAAGCTTCCAGCCTCCCTGGGGTTTGTACCCCAGGAAAACTGCAAGAGGATTTCAGAGAGGGGTGAAATTTGGGGAGAAAGCCCCTGCCTGCAGATATTTCATGTGCAGAAGAGCCAGCTCTCCCTGCCCTAACCTGCTCCAGGTGCTCCCACCTTGTCACAGCCTCAGCCCCAGGAAAAGCCTCTTTTCCTCGGACTCAGATCAAGTTGTGGAGATGTTTGGGAGCTCAGAGGCAGCTGGGAAGGGGAGGGGAGAGCAGACAGGCAGAGCTGGCTGCCAGCATCCACGTCTTGTGGAGCTTTGTGTTTGATGGTCACCTTGGTGGTCACCACACAATTTCACTTCTCCTGTTCCCAGAGGCACCAAAACTCTCACATTACCCACCAGGGAAGCCCCAGCTGGGCCAAGGGAACTCTCCCTGAGCACAATTCCCATTCCTGGCAGGGCAGATCTCAGTGTGAGCATCTCCATGCTTGGAATCAGAGTAAATTTAATGACAAACTTCACCTACTCGCTGATGGAAAAGCAAAATGTCATTTTTTCAGCAAAAAAACCTCCACCTTTTCTGAAACAGCTTTCAAGTCTCCTTCAAATGAACTTGAGAAGGGAAATGGTGCAATAACTCAGCTACTCTTGGACCCCCAAGAGCATCTTTGTTCCTGGAAATAGCTGCAACATTCTAATTAATCCTTACAAACCTGCATCAGTCCACAAGCAGCCAGCCTCTAATAGAGGTAGTGTCACCTTTGAATCAGGTTCTTTAAGTGAAGTTTAATGTTATGCTATTTAAATTGCTACTCTGTGTCCTTTATTTGTTTGGTTGTTTTGGTTTTTTTTTTTTTTTTTTCATTCATTGATTTTTGCTATGTATTATTGCACAATTTTGAAAGAGTTTTTGTCTGTCCATTTTTTCCCCCCCACTTAATGATAATAATAAAAAAATGAATTGGGTAAGACAAAACAGTTTCTGGTTTCTGAAATTGTTATCCAGCATCTAGTGCAGGAAAAAGGAGATTTTTTTTTTTTCTGAACATAATTTTGTTTTACAAAACCTAACAGGGTTTCAGAATCACTGAATGGTTTGGGTTGGAAGGGACGTTAAAAATTATTTAATTTCTACCCCCTGCCATCGGCAGGGACACCTTCCACTGTCCCAGGTTGCTCCAATTCCCATCCAGCCTGGCCTTGGGCACTTCCAGGGATCCAGGGGCAGCCACAGCTGCTCTGGGCACCCTGTGCCAGGGCCTGCCCACCCTCACAGGGAGGAATTTCTTCCTGAGATCCAGTCTAACCCTGCCCTGTGTCAGTCTGAAGTTGTTCCCATCCCGGGAAAACAGCAGTGACAGGACACGGGCAGGGAGAATCGGGAAAATTGAGCTTCGTGCAGACCCTGGGAGGTGCCGCCCTCATTCCTAAGGCAGTCACGTCTGCCTGTCCCTTCCCTCAAGGTCACCAACACCCCCAGACACCAAACACCATTTCCAACCTGTCCAAGCTTCGCCTCCACGATTGCACAGCACCACCTCAGGCGTTATTTTCCGTGCTTCAAACCCATCTCCACGACAATCCCACCCCTGCACGGGGCGTGTGCAGGAACACCCCACACCTGAGCAGCCGAAATCCAGCAGGATTTCTGCTGGCAGGGAAGGTAATGAGCAGGCAGCAGCCTCCTCACACGTCCTCATTTCCCAGCCCAGATAATTGGAAAGGCAACATGTGATCTTGGTGGACATAATTGAGGCGTGCAGCATCTTAAGTGTTGCACTTCATTAACATTTAGCTTAAGGCAACGTTAACAAACAGTCGTTCCTTCCTCCCTCGGTCGTGAATGAAGCTGATTTTTTTTCCCCTGGTGCTGCTGGAATAGATTGTCCCCCCCAGGAGGTACAAGGAGTGTCACCTCATTCCCAGGCACCTGCTTTCCGCTGGAGGAACCGACGTGACTCTGAAGCCTCAGCGCTGTCGCTGAGAAAACTTTAATGGAATAAAAGTTTGCCTCCTCTCCTAGCAAAACCTGCAGGTTTCCATGGATAGGGAGCATTTCCACCCTAAGCCTTTACTGCCTATAACATTTTTCCCCACTATGATGAGAACCCATCCAAGAGGAAGATTGCAGTTCCTGGAGGAGCTTTGCATGGAGCACAAGGCACAAACCCACCCAAGAGCTGGATCCAGGCTCCCCTCACTCTGCCACTGCTGAAAATTCACCTCTTCCCCCCAAACAACATCAGGGGCTGCTTCCTGCAACCACAGGGAGGAGAAGATGTGGATCCTGCCTGCAGGAGTGAGGAAACCAGGTGGAAATACAGCAAAAATTCCTTTCCCACCATGGGTTAAGCTTTGCACAGAATCGATGGGCTATGATGTTGAGAGCAGCTGAAGTTCTGGCTCACTGCTCCCCCTTTGAGCAAGCACTCCCAGTGCTTGTGCCAGACTCCTGAATGATTGTGTTTAGCCTTTCTCAGCTGGAAAGATGAAATAACTGAGGATATTTCACAGCAGAACGCAAGCTGGATTTCGGGATGGAGGAGCCAAGAGCTCCCAGATAGCCCAGCTGAAGGAAGGAAGGAAGAGAAGGTCTGTGGGAAGGAAAGATTCATGCTAACCATCAACATCTTGGCTCCTACCACAAACCTCCCAACCTGCCAAGTGTGGGATGCAAGAAAAATGGCATCTTCCAGGATGTGAGGTTTATTTCTTTCCTGTAAATTCTAGGCATCCAGAAGCACACAACCTCAAACTCTCAGAGCTGGGCTGACGTCATGCCCAGCAGATTTTCCCTCCCCTGGCTCTGCAGACCTGGGATTGATTTAGGGAGTAGACTTGACCTCTTATTTTTCAGAGCACCTGCGTGGGGTTGTGCTGGAAAGAATCTCAGGGTGATGGAGGGTCATAAAAAAGGAGCTAGACAGCAGTTTGGGAAAGAAGGAAAGACAGTGAGCAGGAGGTCATGAATTCATCCTGAAGCTACAACCTGACACTGGCTGCACAGGAGGGGAATGTTTTAGAGTAGAGGACCTGAGGCAGAGGTGGACAAGAAGCGACATTCACGTCACCAAACCTCTCATCTCCAGGCTGGCCTGGCCAAAAGAGAAAGCTTGTTTCCCCTGGATCTTTCTGTAGCTGGTGAGGGAAGCAGATGCCATCCAAGGAGGAATTTGGAACCTGAATGGAGGTTTGGGGCTTGAGTGAGCCCTTCTCAATCACTTTTGTACACTGGAAGAATGGCTGCCTGTGTGTTTTGTATCTCCCCAAGCCTGAGAGAGATCCCAAAGGGTAACGAGAGGATGGAGAAGAGGTTGGAGGTTCCTCCTGGCCTGGGTTCCATGTTACAGCAGGCAGGATTCATCCCTGCCCAAGCTGAGAGGGTCACTCCAGGCCTCGTCTGCAGCCAAGATGAGGCACAGCAGTTCAGAGAGTGCTTCCCTCATCTGAAAATAGGTCAGACTCTCTTTGCTATAATGGGAACTCAATGGCGACCGCCTCACGCAGAGCCTTGGGACTGTAAGACACCACAGCCTACGTGAAATGAATCCTAAACCCGAGTTCTGGGTGAGAACATCCCCCCTGCAGCCAGGCAGCTCCTGAAGCACACACACCCCGCAGGCTGGAGAGAGCCCTGGCCAAACATCTCCTCTTTGTTAGCACCCCTGCTGCAGCTCCAGCAGAGAGCAGCTCCTCTCCCAACACCCTCCCTGCTCCCCCTTGGAGGCTGCTGGCCCCTTTGGGGTTAGCCTGGCTCTGAAGTGACCCAGCTTTCCTTCCCCCCTGCCAGGGCTTTCTCGGGATCCCTCAGAAAGCCAGGAGCAGAAGCCTGGAGGCCAAATCCCAGTGGTGTGTTCAGTCACGGGACCAGCTTGGTTTCCTGTCCAGCTCCACTTTGCAGTAGCTGTGTGGAACCCACAGCCAGCCTGTCTCTGTCCCCTGCAAATTACCACGGCAGACTCAGAGCTGGTGAAGACAATAGCGTGTTTGGCTCGATCTTCTGCATCAACACCATTTCCAAATGTACTTTTCCCTCCTAAACTTATTTAACCTCACAACCAAGAGCCACAAGGATGGCGAGCTGTTTGTTCCAAGCCCAAATCTCCCGGGAGAGCAGGCACAAAGAATAGAAGGCAGCCTGGAGAGATGGGAAGAGGGAAAATCCAGAGCGGGATTCGAATGCACCGCCCTTGGAGACTGTGCCAGTGACCTGCTAAGGGTCCAGCCACCATAAATAAATAGGCTGCTTTTATTGTCTGGCCAAGCACGGTAATGCCTGAGCCGCTTCCAGCGGGTGGGGCCACGGCCGGCCCCGCTCCTCCGCGCTGAGACAAACCAGATGTCGCTCACCCCGCGCCCGTGCTGCGGGTGACTCCTGCTGCAGCCCCTCCTCACCCGCCGCGGATCAGGGGTCTGTTAGTGCCCCTCCCAAACCCCCAGAACCGAGCCAAAAACTTCTGCCGTGGTGGTGGTGAATCCTAAGTGAGGGGCAAGAGTGACAAGGGGTGACAATGCCATGGGGCAACAGTGCCATGGGGCAACAAAGCCATTGGGTGGCAGAGCCAGGGGGTGATGATCGCAAGGGATGACAATGCCATAGGGCGACAAAACCATGGGGAAACAAAGCCAAGGGGTGACAATCCCAAGGGGTGACAGTGCCATAGGGCGACAAAACCATGGGGCAACAAAGGCATGAGGCAACAAAGCCATGGGGTGATAATTCCAAGGGGTGACAATGCCATAGGGTGACAAAGCCATGGGGCAACAGTGTCATGGGGCAACAAAGCTATTGGGTGACAAAGCCATGGGGTGATAATCCCGAGGGATGACAATGCCATAGGGTGACAAAGCCATGGGGCAACAAAGCCAAGGGGTGACAATCCCAAGGGGTGACAATCCCAAGGGGTGACAGAGCCATGGGGCGACAAAGTTGTGGGGCGACAATGCCATGGGGGGACAATGCCAAGGGGTGCAAAGCCAATGGGTTGCAAAGCCAAGGGGTGGCAATGCCATGGGGCAACAACATCAAAGGGTAGAAAAACCAAGGGGTGGCAAAGCCAAGGGGTGACAGTGCCATGGGGCAGCAAAGCCATGGGACAACAATGCCAAAGGCTGACTAAGCCAAGAGGTGACAATGCCATGGGGGGACAGTCCCAAGGGGTGACAATGCCAAAGGGCACAGCCCAAAACCTGCAGTGATTAAAGCACCACGTTCCTCTCCCTCTGCACAGCCCCACCAGATGCTCTGCACTGGCCCTAAAACCCCCCCAAACCAGACCCCAGATACACTTATGGGAGGGTAGAGCTGAGAAGCAGCTCTGTCTGTGCCAGAACCGATAATGCACTTTTTAACCTGTTTTTTTGGCCGGTTCAGTCCAAAGCGAGCAGTTCCCAGCTGGCCCTACTGCCACCCATGTGCAGTAGATGGCAGCAGAAGCTTTAGTCACTGGCCACCAAACTCGAAAGGATCCCTCCTCCTCCTCCCCCCACCTTTTTTTTTTTTTTTTTTTTTACTTTTTACTTTTGGTGGCCTCAAAAATTATTAGTTCCAGATGAGCTCCCGCCATTGTAATAGTCCATTTAACCCGATCCACTCTGGGCAGAGTCAGTGCAAGTTCAAATGCAGCATTTTCACGTGTAAACCACACATCAGAGACATTTTTTCCGCGCGGCTCTGGGCACTCCTCGTGCAGCAGAAAAGGGGAAATGCAGAAGGTTAAACCTCACACACACGGCCCCGGCCGTGGGCAACAATGGCACTTTGTCAAGGCAGCGCTGCCAGAGCGGGGCTGAACTTCTGAATTGAACCAGGAACCTCAGCACTGCTTCTCCCTTTGAAGATTAGCACTAATAAGCCAAACCAGTGGGTATTTTGTTTTATAAGGAAAGAGCATTTCAAGTCACGTACGCTGCTATTGTTGGACACAAAACATGTTCTGTCTCTGCCTGTGGTGACTCCAGCAACTGCT